TATATCTAATATATTAAACTCAAAGTGGCGTATAAGCGATTTTGCTATTCCACTGCCGATATGTGATATATTATGGAGATGGAGTCCAGACGTGAAGATAGCTAAAAAATAAATTCCCGAAACCTTTGATCAGCAATTCTGTAGATAACGGATTGCATACAAAATCAAAGCTCAAAACTGTCCGCGTTTGTTAAATTTATGCAGAGCTACATTCGATTCCCAATGAACAAAGATAAATGTTTTAAAACAGTTTAACTTAATAACAACTATCTCACATAGAAATAAGGTTACAAATAACAAAATGTGATTTCACACATACGACCTTTTATTTTTATCTTAAAAAGCGAACTAGACAATAAATTATGTCACGGTGTGCGTAATTGAACTACTTCGAAATGGCTCGACCGATTTTCGTGAGGTCTGAGAATCGGACATCTATTTTTCATCCCCCTAAATGTTAAGGGTGGTCCAATCTTATTTTTTTTTATTTGGACAAATTTTACTGTTTTTCATTTTTTATGATACATCATACAAAAATACATACAACCCTAAATTTTCACCTTCCCTTCAACCACCAACCCCTTTTTATGGCAGTAAGAAGTTCGCTGGGACAGCTAGTATAATTATAAAAAACGATAAAGGATTTTCTATGTAATTTCTTTATGTGAAACACGTTTTTCGTTTTCCCAAAAAGGGTCATAAATCACAAATTAAGAGAAAATTGTGTGAGCTTTTTTAATCAAATCAGAAATCAATATATCTTTATTCAAATTGGATGTATAGTACAACACTTTTGAATCGGTTAAAGAAATAATTACATGCATTAAGGACCAAATAAAGGTATTCAAATTATTCATCTAAACGGTTTTTTTTGGATCTTATTTGCGTGGCCTGATTGGATCTTATTTAGCGCAGCGAGACCAATCATTCATCTATGGCCTATAACCGACCATCCTGCATTTTACGTAGATTTTAATACTTATTTTTTATGTTTTAAAGACACATTTTTGGCTATGCTATTCTCGAGTAATCGAATAAATAATATGTATTTTTTTCTGTTCTTCCTTTCCTGACATCATGTTCATTATTAAAGGAGATTAACATCTGCGTTGTATAAGTATCTGCAACTAAAAATTAGTGTCAGCAGTGCTATTCTGTAAAATGTTCACGCAGAATCCACATCGGATCTGCGCGTGAAAATTTTACCGATAAATAGAGCAACACGTACAACCACATATCTTTGAAACTGATTAGGTGCTCTTTCAAAATAGTTCTCAATTCGGTTAGTTTTTTTTTATGTTTTTAGTTCGATGCCAAGATTTCTCATCAGATTTGCATGATGAATTTTTTGTCCGATGCAAAAAAGTTGTCATTTGGTACTGCGGAGTTCTAGCCAGAGTGGATAGAACCCAGGGGCGTAACTACTAATTAAAAGATACTGGACTTTTAAATAAAGTTTTATTTGATTCAGGCGAATACAAGTTTTTTATCTAAGCTACGCAAGGGTTGGTGCCTGAAGATCGTCTCTTGTATGGAACCTTCTATCAAAAGACAGATGATTCCTTATTTCAAATCTTAAAATCATGACATTAACTTTTTAATATAACTGCCAACCGTAGGCATTGCAAGAGCAAAGAGTTTACCTAAACAAGGAGGCTGTAACGTAACGGACGTTACATCCCTCCGGCACCGCTAAAAAAAATTGTTTTGTCATACTAGATGATAGAACAAAATTTTTTTTTCCTACCTACTACATCGAGAGGGTTCGACGATCCTATCTAAAATCCCTACCTGCTTAAGAACATAAATACAACTGGGAGGTGGCCTTTACTACAGACTAGCCCTCACAATAAAAAAACTTTACGAGAAAAGAACCCTAACTGTTTGCAAAGTTTTATTGCAAAGACTTTACGGGAGCAAAACCTTAACAAAATCCCTCGTACATCTCCCCCCTAACCTTAACTTTACTTAACATCGACATCCGTCGGCAAAAACAAAAAACAAAGCTATCCCTAGCTATTCCATAAATTACCCGGCGCCTCCACCATGCGGAGTTCTAGCCAGAGTGGATAGAACCCAGGGGCGTCACTACTAATTAAAAAATACTGGACTTTTAAATGAAGTTTTATTTGATTCAGGCGAATACAAGTCTTTTATCTAAGCTACGCAAGGGTTGGTGCCTGAAAATCGTCTCTTGTATGGAACCTTCTATCAAAAGACAGATGATTCCTTCAAATCTTAAAATCATGACATTTACTTGTTAATATAACTGCCAACCGTAGGCATTGCAAGAGCAAAGAGTTTACCTAAACAAGGAGGCTGTAACGTAACGGACATTACAGTACCCTAACAAAAATTAATTCAGTTGGCCCAGTAGTTATTTTAACGGCGTTTTAATTGGACTTGGACGATGTAATTTTCACGACACATTGATTATGTGTACACACCGATTACTTAAAGATTTTTGATCCGATATGAGTAATTATTTTTTCGTTAGATAGATAAGGTATTTATTTAGTTTATTTATTAAAACTTTATTGTAAAATAACATAGCAAATGGCGGACATAATGCCACAAGGCATTCTCTACCAGTCGAACAGTAAGAGCGTAAGAAATAAACTAATATGCCTGCTTTTAATTCAGTTTGTTTGTTTTCTTAATCAAGACATTGGGTACCATAACACATCCACTTCAATAAAAAGAGATATCAAGTAAGTTTAATATGGGTGGGTCTGTACCTACATTACATATAGTACAAATAAAAATATTAAAGTAACAAAGAAATTCATTGAAACTCTAAATATAAAAGCTGTACTTAAATTAAGTCTTATCTGCCATTCAGATAACTACCTAATTAGTCGTCATTGAATATTAAATTGGTTTTTAATTTCATTATCCACATATAGGAGCCTGTTTCCATTCAGATTGTTTTGGGTTCCCTAGCCAAGGGATGATAAGAACCAGAACCAAATGTCCGTTTGTCAGCAGTGTACTGTTTTTTAATTTACATCGCTTTTATCAATTCCAACCCTTGCTTATTTTGTTATTATGCAATAGTTTCCAAATAAACAGAATCACAACCAGACCCGTCTTTCCCAGTGGGCACTTTGTGCAAGTGCCCAGGGCCCCGCGATCGATAGGGGGCCCCCTCAGATCAAATACAAAGTCCCCAGTTCCTGTTAAATCACCAAACGGAAGTCATAGGGGCCCCATTATCCTAATATGCCCAGGGCCTAAAATAGGTCAAAGACGGCACTGATCACAACAGACTTGTGGAATAGGCCTACTGGGTGACCACGTTAAAAGCACACTAAATAGGTTGTATTGAGGGAGTACCTCAGAGGTGGCGTGGAAACGTGTGATAATTATGACGCTTACAACTTTGAATCATAACCATTCAAATCTCAGGAACGGTGGCTCTTAGGAAAAAATATTTTGCTACCTTTTTTTATAGATAATTTTATGAGCAACAATTTTTGTCTGTAAAAATTTTACGCTAAAACTTGCCGTTTTGATGAGAATCGCGAATACCCCACTTTTTGAACTCGGGTCTTTTTTTTTTAGTACCGGAACGATGGCGAATTTTGAAATGTTATTTTTAAGTATATTTTGAACAAATTTTACTTACTTAGGCCCGTATTATAGAAAGATTCTCAGTGTTTGATCTAGTCTTGAGCATAGTTAGAAAGGGATGTCGCTATATTATAGCACATTACAGCACATAGCGACATCCCTTTCTAACTGTACTCAAGTAAAGATCAACACTTAGTTGGCATTCGGTAATACGGGCCTTAGACTACTAGTGCTAAAAACTATCCTTAGATTTCTAATCAGTACCTTTTGAACTTATTACATGGAGAGCGCCTGTCTAAGAAAGTAACCTCCACCTTTCCAAGACCACAGTTATCGAGGCCAGCAGGCGTGGGTTGGGTAAAATCACGCCTGCATTGCACGGCCTCGACAGTCTGGGGGTGACGCCTAGATGTGTTTGGTTCGCCCCGACCGTGGAGTGGTCCGGCGTAAAGCCGGGCCCGCCGGGGTGGCGTGGTTTGATTCCCAATAAGGAACCCACGCCGTCACATCCAGTAGAGGAGGGCGCATCCCAGAGTTTTAGTAGGAAGGGCCCATCCCATCCCGAGCAGCCACTGAGCCTACCCTACTGGTGGCTGACCTTACAAAGCGGCGCGCCGCTTTGCGGCGGGGCATGCGTCATGCATTTCTCCGGATCAAAAAAAAACAAAAAGGTTAGGTTTCGGCCATACCAGTCGGTGGCTCCCAATCCGGGGACTCAGGGTCATGTTCGATTAGTGCAAGGTAGGACGGGAAGTTGTTATACCTAGTAGGTATGGAAGACGAAGCACGGCGGACTATCCACCATGGATCTCAGTTGCGGCACCAGGTGGTAAGCCGATTGGCGCGTTGACCAGAGAAGCCCAGGATAATGCTGGAGGGCGTGGAGTTGGCTGCTGGATGCCCGTGGAAGTGGGGGGTAGTCGCCTATGCAAGCCTTCTACTCTACGTAGCAGACTAACACCCTGCTTTCCATCGGCCGAGTGCAACATGCTGGATCATGCGTCCTCGGACGTATGATGTGGCGTGCGCAATGCATTTTTTCTCCCCGCCATCAAAAAATAAAAGGTTTGGTTATGAAAAATATAAACCGCAACGCAGATAGCGGCACAGTGCGATCTTATTTATCGCAATATAGACGAGAGCACTGTGTGATGGCGGCGCAGTATTAAAGTTAGCTTGCGCGTGAGTAATGGCTGAATATTATTTCCTCGTTTTGTCCTATCATTTGCAGCGGGTTTCTCTAATTTTGTCCATTGGGAGTACTCTGTCTGTGTATCAAACACTACTAGAAATTGAATTTAAACAAGGAACAAAAAATATTGTAGATAAGTCTGTATGATCTCAGTATCCCTTTGCTTTATAGTTAATGGTCAATTTTACAACAAAAGAACTGTCATAATCAGCTGACAATGACAACCGACCGACCATGAAATTTTCGAAGGTCAATTTGTTTTGTACATTTTGAATTTTTGACTGAAAATCAATGAATATACGTAAAAAGAGTCGTAGTCGAGCATTAAAAGCACCAGTGTAAAGTTTACAGCATGCAGTTCAAAAAAGTGTCTCACGTTTTGTTCGATTTGGATGGTCTGTTATTGGGTAAGGACATTTTAAAATAAAACATTAATTATACAAAAAAAATCACTTAAAAAACGTATCACATATTTACGAAAAATTTCAGATTCTGAAATCATTTATACAGAGGCTTTTACCACAGTTTGTGCGAAATATGGGAAAGAATTTACGTGGGAATTTAAAGCCAGCTTGTTGGGATTCCAAGGTCCTGAATGTGCCGAGAAGATTGTGAAAACCCTTGATTTACCCATTACAAAAGAAGAATTTATGGGAGAATGTTGGGAAATCTATCGCGAGTTATTTCCAAAGGCTCAACTAATGCCAGGTATTGCCAGTATTCATTTGTTCATGAAGCATGTAAAATATCCTTGTGATTTCACTTCGTTTTTCAATTTCGCAATAAAAACCGAACCAACGCGTGAAGAAGGCTCAAAGTGAAAAATCGATTGTTATTGGCCACAACTTAAGCACCATCTGTAACGAGCTTTGCATTTTCATCCACATTAGTTGATAAAACTTATATATTTAAAATTATTTTTATTTAAAACAGGAGCTGAGAAATTAGTAAAACATCTTCATAAAGCTGGAGTGCCTATAGCATTAGCCACAAGCTCGGGTCAAGAAAGTGTCGAGATGAAAATGCAAAAGCATAAGGAACTGCTGAGCTTATTTCATCACCTCACCATGGGTACCTCCGACCCTGAAGTAAAGAAAGGGAAACCAGACCCTGCCATATTCCTTGTGTGTGCCTCACGCTTCCCTGAGAAACCAAAGCCAGAAGATGTAAGACATAGTTTTATTAGAGCTCATGAAATATCTTGTTTCAATATCCACTAAATATAAGGTAAAATAGATATACAGCCAGAGCAATTTATATTTTACACAAATCCCTTCTGTTTCTAATTATTAAAGTCCAATCTATTTTATTTGATACCATAGGGAATAGCAATAAAATAATACTTACAAGCCAACTTAAAATGAGAGTTGTTAAGCAGATAGCAACCAGTGATTATTTTTTAATCAAGCGAAAATTTGTCCTACGAACTCATGTTAAAATTTAGTTCTTTTGATCCACAACCATACTTTAACATTTGTCCACAAAACTCAAATTTGTTAGATTCCAAAATGCCCTGGTAGCTTTCTGCTGGACCCCACTCAATTGCACATTTCACTGGAAAATGAACACAGACATCTAATCATCTGATCTATTTCTATTCTAGTTCAATTTTGGTTTTTCTTATTGTAGGCCTATAGCCGCTCTACTTAATGATAAGTTGTAGCTGCCATCGACTTTGTCTGCGTTAACTAGATTTTTGAGAATCCTCACAAAGTTTTTTCATTATAAAAATAGGGGTGATGACGGGGTACAGTAAACGAAATTCTATTTAGTCCATCAGTTAGATGATCGAAAAATAATGGACACGATTTTTTCTTTGGGCAATCAACCAAAAAATGACAAAGTTTTAGCGCATCAAAGTTTGGGAGTAGGGGCTTGTGACGTCACTTTTGAGTGAATTTTCCCTTATAAGTGTACTCAAACGTGACGTCATGCGACTTTTCAAATCAATATATCTCTGCAATGCTTATATTATGTGAAAAAAGAAAAAATACGTGTCCAATACTTTTTGATAATCTACCCGATAAACGAAGAAAAAAAATTAGTCATCATCCCTATTATCTTATTTCTCAATCCAGGGGGCCAATCGCCTAACGGAAATGCTTTGGGAAACGCTAACGCTTACGATTTTATATTGTTATTTCTAGCCGCCTGAGGTTTTCGAATACCTCACGCTCATTTTTCTTAATATTGTTATTACCAATGCAAAAGAAAAAAAAAGAGCGCGAGGCATTTGAATACCTCAGGCGGCTAGAAATAACAAAATAAAATCGTAATTTCCGTTAGGCGATTGGCCCCCAGATCATAACTATCCATACCGAATCCATTCAGAAGTTTTTACATATTGAGTAACAAACAGACAAACATAGACACACACACACATGAAAACTTTCACATTTAAAATATTAGTAGGATTTGCTGACTATAACATTATAGATACTCAGGAACCATAATTAATTTTTTCAGTGCTTGGTGTTTGAAGATGCAGTGAATGGAATCAAAGCAGCAAAGGCAGCTAACATGCAGGTGGTTGTGGTTCCAGATCCTCGAATAGATGCTGCAGAATTGAAAGATGCTACATTGGTCCTCAAATCTTTAGAGGATTTCAAACCTGAGATGTTTCATCTACCTCCCTACCCTTCCTAAGTTTGGTAATCAATACAAAAATGATTGGTAAATGTGGTATTATAAAATAGATGCTTGCAAATTAAGCATAAAGCACATTAAAAATTTGAATACACATACGCATCCAAGTTTGGATTAGATTTCTATGCTTTATTTTCACAAGTGCTTAATAGATACAATAAAGCATTATTTTCCTGCATTAGGTACCTAATTTAGATTAAAATTATACCTAATACAACAATTAATGTTGCTAATGGTGTCGATTCTGACATGATTCTCTAAAGCTAAATTTAAATTTGACAACAGTGCATCTTTGTCATTTTCTATACAGAATGTAAGTGAAAGACTGATGTTAAATTTAGTTTTAAGTTTAGAGAATCACGCCATAATTGAAACCATTGTTGTAAAGTCAAACTAAAACTCTAAAATAAAAAAATAATTTATTACTTTATAAGATTTAATTATGCTTTACATTGATTGGTAACAAGTAGTAATTATGTACTGTAATTAACATATCTCTTCATTACTAGTCACAAAATATATTTTTAATAAGTATTTAATACTTAAATTAATTTACAAATATTATGTGTAGGTAAGGAAAATTTTCGTGTATTGTTTGTTTTAAAATAATGCACACCCAGAATACTTAAGTTAAATAAATATACAAAATTATAAAATATGTTATATTACACAGTCAATTAAAAATAATGAAATTGATGTAATGGCAGCGTTCATACTTACCTTTCTAGAACGAGATTTAAGTTTAGGTCGCTAATTATGTATTACTGCTATTTTCTACCACCAGTTTACTTATTTTTATTTGATTATTATTAAAAATATCTATACTTGAAAGGATGAGCAAGTATTTTTTTATTGTAGAGAAAATTTAACAACAGCACATTAGAGAGCTTTATGAGATTGTTTTGACAAAATTGTCTCTTATGTTATGATAAAATAAATAAAATGAGAGTGGGATGGAATTATGTAATAAAGTTCATGCTTCACAATCTTTTCTAGTGTATAATTTATTATCTTCTTCTCTACGCCGGTTCAGAGGCCCCCAGCACGAACTTTGATAAATCAGTAATCGTATCGACATCGTCCAATTTCATATGGAATCGAATCGTAGTATCGGGGCTGCTTAGCGAGCTCCTAACAATTCTCTCCAAATGTACTTCAACTTTATTCCGCACGACATAAGATTCGCTATGGATTAGGGACGTTTGATGTGTTTCGGCGCATTCACGGCCAGTTTCAATAGTTAAACTTAAGTAAAAGGTTGAGCTTTGTTGTACTAGAGCTTTGTTGCCAAAATATTTTCATTATTAATATTATAATAACAGTTGTTCCTAATTAACGGAACCAGATTATCCTTACCTTTAACTGAAGATTGATAATTGAAACTTTTTTTTTATGCATAATAGGTAATGCGTTCGACCACAATCTCGCCTGTTGGAAAGCGATGATGAGGCCTAGGATGGTATACGCCTGCCTAGAAGATGCCTGTTCACTCTGGCCTTGAAGATGTCCAGATTATAATGGTCCGGGAAAACAGACCTCGGCAATGAGTTCCACTCCCTAGCCGTTCGCATAATGAAAGCGGAAGCAAATCGCTTCGTGCGAATGGGAGGAACTTCGACAACATAAGGGTGAAAACTGGTCGCCCGGTGGTGGAAACTGCTGGCATTTAGTCAGTGTAATGGTAGCCATACACACTACGAGAAATCGTTACGATTAGACTGTACCGTCCGAACGGTACCGATAAATCGTAGCGTGTATGTTATAAAACTGCACAGTTTCCTATACGTACGCCACGTACGAAAAACTGTTCCGTTCGAACTGTACAGTCTGATCGTAACGATTTCTCGTAGTGTGTATGGCTACCATAAGGCGGTAATCCGAACATCTCCGGTCGGAATAGTTCGGCGGATGGCCGCTCAACGAGCTGTCTAGCTCCGGCGCTGGCACCATCACTACTGGCATGCCGGCTGCCAGATTATCCTTACCTATTACTGGAGGTTGATTATTGAAACTGGCAGTTAGTCAGTGTAAGGCGGTAATCCGAACATCTCTGGTCGGAATAGTTCGGCGGATGGCCGCTCAACGAGCTGTCTAGCTCCGGCGCTGGCACCATCACTACTGGCATGCCGGCTGCCAGATTATCCTTACCTATTAATGGAGGTTGATTATTGAAACTGGCAGTTAGTCAGTGTAAGGCGGTAATCCGAACATCTCTGGTCGGAATAGTTCGGCGGACGGTAGCGCCAGCGTGGCGCGGCCGCTCAACGAGCTGTCTAGCGCTGGCGCTGGCACCATCACTACTGGCATGCCGGCTGCCAGCGCCGCCTCTACGCCGTTAACAGAGTCCTCGAACACTAGGCACTGTGGCAATGGAAAATATAACTTAATTAAGTGCTTGTTTGGTAATGGAAAATGCAAGGTGGAACACAGTGCCTTTGCCAGAGCTATAGGATACAAGCTGGTAAGGTTAAGTTGGCTGAAGCTGCGTGCTTTTCTCTCGAATTCGGTTAAGAATGTAATGTACAGCCACGGAGTTGTATTGCATTTTGCACACACTCCTCCACGCCGTTCACAGAGTCCTAGAATACTAGGCACTGTGGCAATGAAAATGAGAGTTCAATCAAGTGTTGTTTCATGATTGGGCACTGTGGCAATGGAAATGAATTAATCAACGTTTTTGTGTTGTTTGTCGAGGGGGCACATGGCCTATGCCAGGATAATAGGGTACAAGCTGGCAAGGTAAAAGTGGCTGATGCTGAGCGCTTTTCTATCGCATTAGGTTAGTTAATAGAGTTCAGGTAATATTCAGCCATGGAATTGGATTGCATTTGTACAGACAGCCAGATAACAGAGTCTTCGAATGCTGGGCACAGTGGCAATGTAAATCATGAGTTTTATCAACGTTTTTATAAGTTTGATAATCTTAACCATCTCCGAAGGAAGAAGGACTTATGATTTTTTACCTGAATAAGAATATTTTACTTATTTCCTTATCTGGTTCACGAAACTACTAGGTACCTATATAAGTAGTTAGTTATAAAAATGGATAAAGTATTCTTTGGTCGAAAGGTTTTAACGTTTTAAGTAATCAAATAACATACTAAAGATACCTTTTCGGCGGCTGGTTTGTCAGGAAACTTGGCAGCGGCTACTAGAAATATGTCTGGATACGGTTTGCCTCGCTTCACTTCAGGATCCGAGGATCCCCAAGTCTTATAAGCAAACAGATCGAACAGTTCAAAATGATTACGAGTTTTCAGATTATAAGATTCGATACTACTGCTGGTTGCCAAGCCGATCGGAATGTTGTTGTCGACGAGATGGCGAATAAGCTTCTCGATACCTGAAATAGAGATTTGGTGGCTTTGACGCACTATCCGCAAACGTGTTCCCTTGCTCCAAAACCGGGGTTTATTGAAAGAGGCGTGGGTGTGAAGAAGCAACTTGCATACCTTCAAGTTGAGGATGGGTAGTGTGGCAAGTAAAACTGCACTTAATATCAGGTAGGGACGACGGGTCCTTTATATATCCAGTCGCCCCGCGGGGACAGCCACGGGAAATATATGGGAATAAAGATACCCAGTCGCCACCGACGGCGGAACTACTTTAAAAGGTGAAGTACTAATATGTTAGGTTGCCTCATCCTTTTGTTCTCTATAAATGTGAAAGCAATTAACAGTGAAACTAAAGTGGAGGCAATGACTTCCTAGTTGCCGCCGGTGACGACTGGGAATTTTATTCCCATTTGCCTCCGGTGGTAAACCTTCGCGTAGTCGACTGGGAATGAATGCGATGGGTGTGGGATGGGTGAACTTCATAACGCGTGAGCTGATAATGAAATTTCCAAGAAAATTGACATTAACAAACACAATTCTTGTATCCGGGTTCGTGCTTATTCTCAAGTGCGGATTGGTGGGTGCTAACGACTTCAGATGCAGCCGGGGGAAATAACGACTCAACGTGCCGGCCGAAGAAGCTTAAAATAATAAGTTTTAGTTCACCCATCCAATGACCGACCATTGCGAAAGTTGCTGAACTTTCACGATCGCAGGCCGAACACGCTTAAAACCTGCGTCATCGAGCTCTATACTATATAAACATGTATCTCCAACCCTTTTACGTGTTTTTCGCACGCTACTAGCCAGCAGGATGGATGGTGCGTGGAGTCCTGAGTTTCCTCTCCAAGGATGATCGCTTCCGAATTCGCTTGCCTTTAAGGGAGGCAAGGATGTATGTTTCTTAGTCAATAATATCCCGACTTAACTATACAGGGCGTCCCACGGGTTTGTCACACTGTGGGGAAGTTTATTAAATATTGAAGATAGGATATTTTTCTGGCAGGCGCTTTTTAAAAACTGTAAATGCAATTCTACTTTTTATTAAAAATAAAATAAAATTATGCCTTCTTTCAGTAAAATTATCCTATCTTCAATATTTGATATGGGTACTTTCCCTCCGTGTGACAAATCCTTGGGACGCCCTGTATACAGTAAACTATGAAGTGGCTATTTAGGTAAAAATTCTGCGATTGATAAGTCCTGAAGATAACCCATTATGCTTACTAATTCTTTTTTATACAATTGATAGCGACAAAATGGCGAGTTGTAATCAAGCGAACTTTGCATTGCCGAGCCCAGCGGCGTAAACAGTGCCGTCTTTGACCTATTCGTGGCCCTGGGCATATTAGGATAATGGGGATACTATGACCCCCGTTTGGTGATCTAACAGGAACAATGGACTTTGTATTTGATCTGAGGTGGGCTCCTATCGATCGCGGGGCACTCACTGGGCACTTACCCAAAGTGCCCACCGGGAAAGAGGCGTCTGGGCGTAAAACAGTACTTAAATCACAATATTATGCATGAACTTAACACGAGTATATGTTTATACTTACCAGGCATTACTTTACAATGAGGGAAGAGCTTTTCAAATATAACACGAGATTCTGAAACAAACTCCTCAACGGTCATTGGCAAATCTAAAGCGTCAATAATGGACTTGGCCAACTCGTTGGATTGCTGTCCCATAATCTTTACTTTTAGATCATAAGTAAAACACTTTCCAAACCTAGAAGCTATCTCTTGAAATCCAATAGTGTAAAGATCCTCAGTGTCTGAAATCCAGTTAAAACATTTGAAATAAGTAAAACAAAAGAAAAATCAATAATTTATTTGTCTTAAAACATCAGCTTACTCAATATCAATCCGTCCATATCGAACAACACGTGGGTAACAGGTTTATATGTCATCTTTGCTTAAATTAAAAATCACAGTTATTTGTACTCCCTAAATATATCGTGGCGTATAAACGCGTCTCAGGATGTTAATAATTTAAAATTGGCCATTCTCCAATAGTGCCATGAATAGAGGACAAGCCGATTACATCATGTATCAGTTATCTTATCGCTTTTGGACGCAACCACTGTATTAATTACAAATATTCCCTCAGAGTCAGACCGTCACAGATAACTACGTCTTAAAAGTAATAGATTATCGAACTGGATGTTGTACGGTTGTATATTTTAACCATGACCTTCAAACCCTCAGTACTAGTTACTGCTGCGTTAAAAATAGAAAAGAATTATCTTAATTTTGTATACCTCTCATCATTGCACTTTTATGTATGATAATGTATGCTAAACATAATGATATAGAATCCAAATTGATTTTAGTTCATACAAAAATCTTGCTTATTTATGTTTACAAATTATATTCGATTTTTCCTACATTTTAGTTATCACATGATTTTTTTAAGTACTAACAATGTCAAATATTCGATATGAAATGGATCATTAAATGCTTAAATAATAAAATTCGATGTCAGCACTATAACTATTTTAAGGATCCTGATTTTTAGGTAATTGACAATGCATAACAGTAGAATCGCATAGTTTTTGCTTATCTTCTTAGTTGTAACTAAGAAAATAAGCAAAACCTTGATGTGATTTTAACAATCATTAAATCCTAGATAAAAATTAGGTAACCTACTTACCTTACACATAGTCTAACGTCCAACGTAATAACCAAAACGACTTAATTACCAAATAGGTAAAAGTAGGCTATTTGTGTACTTCTATATTATCATCTAAAAAATCAATACAATACATGCACAACATTAAAGATTGTCATACTCTCATTATTAGACATTCTCATCACTCACCTACCTTTTTATTAAACAAAGAATAAGCTTCGATACTTAGTTTTGTCGCTCCTCATTGAATTACAAATAGCATTCGAGTGATATTTACAAATCACAACATAACTAGCCTATTCCTGGTTTATTAATAACGGGGGCCAGGGATTACAATCTAGACTTACTACTTGTTAAAAAAATAAAGAAAACCCTTAACAATGTTCACCTTTTGAATATATTTTGCTAATATATAATGTTATCACTTTAACTAAAGTACCAGCAAAATAGGAACAAAAATTATCAAAGAAATATATCTAGAGAATATACTAAAATGTGAGTTGACAATATGGTATGTTGAGATTGAGAACCAATAAAGATATATGTACTATGTACAAACTGTATGAGTGAGTATGAAGACCTATAAAAACTGTCAATATTTATAATAAATTCTTTATATGTAATAGATAAAACAATTTCATATAAGTTATGAGTCTCACAGCACATTCAGTACTTATCTTAACACTAACTGGTATGTTAGACATTAGTTACAAAATAAAAAGAAAATTAAGAACCCTTCCGATTCTAATCTGAATTCATTGTTTCTGAATTATTCTAGTAAAATTTTCTATAAATTCAAACATCTAGCAGTTAAATGCTTAGAAAATATATAAATCTAAAACATAAACTGAGAAATTAAGCTTAAGTTTTGTTATATTTTTATTATTACAGAGAATAAGCTTAAGTCAGCCAATATATCAGATTGATATATTTTTTATTTTTATGCATTGCACAGCTAGATTTGTGCTAGTAACTGTGTTTTTATTCTAGTTAAATTCTGTTAAGGCATCAGATTGTTTTTTTATTTAGTTTTGCTTGTTTTTCAGTTCTAGAAAGCATTGCTGCCAGTTAAATTTTACAAATTGACTAATCATTAAAGGGTGGCAATCCAAATACCTCCGGTTTGAATTCCTCTAAACTGTTGAGCACCAGAGTTGCATCCCCTGTAAGGTTTCTATTTAAGCGGGGATCAGGCACCATTACTACTTGCATTCCGGCTGCTTTTGCTGCTTTCACTCCATTTATGGCATCTTCAAAAACTAAACACTAAAAAATAAAGTACTTTACTCATTGTATTGATACTTAAAGTAATAAAAATATACTAGTAGACCTGAGAAAATTTTCCTGGTTGATAAAATATAAATAATTCTAGAACTTGACATTGAAATCATAATGCATCAGGACTATTGCGAGCTGATAACTAATAGTCTTTATACACATATTTCTATCATAAATGAAGGTAGCATAGTGGTTAGTGAATTACCTCCAGATAGCAGTAGATGCAGGTTTGAGTCCTGCCTGAAACCTTGACCAAGACAATTTTTTCTAATATTTTTTAATGCTTTTTTAATTGGCAATCTTTTTTTAATGTGTTTGCCTAGGCTCTGCTCTAATTAGGATAGATAATACCTTTAGTTAGCAAAGCAACCATTAGTTAAGGCATAATTTATTTCCCATACCAAAAAAATGGCACTCAACTTTAATTAATGAGGAAATATAACATATATTAATACATATATCTTTTAGTACTATGTTATAGGTGCTGTGAAGATCATGTTGTTTGCACCAATCATTATCAGTATCAAACCGTGCATAAAATAAAAATTAAATATACCTTATCAGGTCTAGGTTTGTCCGGGAACCTAGATGCAGCCACAAGGAATATATCTGGATGTGGTTTGCCTTTTTTCACTTCAGGGTCTGAGGAACCCATGGTTTTGTACGGAAACATTGCAAATAGCTCCTGATGGTGTCTACTCGTCTTTAACTCATAACTCTCCTTGCTAGAACTGGTAGCCAATCCTAAAGGTATGTTATGTTTATGTAAATGCTCAATTAGTCTTCTTGCTCCTGTAAAACATAGTGAATTTAATAAATGGAAGTCTATATAAATTCTCTAAGATAGAATAGATACTTAAAGAAGCAAACAATAAAAAGTATTAATAAAATAATTAATGATTTTTTTATGCAATAACCTGGTAAAACCTGCGCATCTGGGAACAATATCTTAAAGTGCTTTGTGGTTTCTTCGATAAATTGCTCAGGCATTAAGGGTAACTCCAAACTAGATATAATAGTCCGTGCGGTCTCGTGAGATTGCAGACCCATTAGTTGTAGTTTTAAGTCAAATGTATACTCTTTACCATAGCGGGAAGTGATATTTTGAAAGGCAATGGTGTATAAATCCTCGGTGTCTGTGATAAACAAAAATATCTTTTCAAAGATTTGTTTTTTGTAATTACCTTTTAAGGTTATAAATATTGTTTAAACATTGAATTCTACGTGAATTCTAACTTATCTATGTACTTACTGAGGATCAAACCATCCATATCAAATAGAACGTGGGTAACCGTATTAAAAACCATATTTCTAAGAAATAAAACGGATTCTGCAAGTTTGTTTACAAAACGAACGAACGATCCTGTAAAAAAAAGTTTTTTTGGAACTGTCAATGTCAAACCCTTTTTTTTAGATTCTCCCTTAATACGGAAGGCAAAGGCAATGCCCATACAGCTTTGTCTTAAAAAAAAACTATCGTTTATTCAGTCTAGGCTGTTACAATACAAGCACTTGTGAATGTCGAAAAGCTACGCCATTGGTTCGCAAATCTACGGCTGGAGACCTTGTACTGAGAAGAACTGGCAAGAAACTCAGCACGGGCTGTTTTTTATCCCTGAATTATTTACAGAGTCGTCAAATTGAAAAATGACTTCAATATGAGATAACTCATGAAGTCACTTTCCATTACAAATGTAAATAATATAACAATTATGAGTATAAAATAAAAAATAAAAAAACAGATTTTAAAAAAGTTTAGGAATGCCGTGTCCTACTGTTTAGGCATAAAAACAAATGTACGAATAAAGTTAAATATAACGATTAATAGTACCCAATGTAGCAAGAGCAGACTCATCTTCGCTGGCAGCACCCGTTCACGAACATCACGCATGAACCAGCCAGAGCTTCGCTCAACCATTTTTTAGGGAACGTAACGACCCGCCTCACACGACACCGCCGGCGCCGAAGAGATTTTTAAGAGAAAAAGTTATATTAGTCTTTTTTTTCGAGTTGGCTTTTTCGATAAGCTTCTGTGCGGTAGTCAACACTACAATAAAGTTCTCTCGTCCACTTGACCGGAATAGCGTATATTTTAAAGATTCCACTTCAGTTGCGCAGACGGGCGTTACTCAAAATCACACCAATTTTCTTTCACAATAACCACTATGCAGGAAATAAAGAATAAATAAATTAAGAAGGCAACCGCACTCGCTGAAATTCCGTCAAAAACTTCCTGTCAAACCATTGAAACCGAACATTAGAGTCGCGCTATACCATAACATAGAGAAAAGCAAATAGTTTTGGCATGAAGGGACCCCTGCGATCTCCATCACACACAGTACTCAAAGCATTACACTACCTCGTGACAACGTAACATGAAGTCACACTTTTTAGTTCAAGCAGTCGGTGTTCATAGATTTATAAGACCGCATTATGCCCAGTGTGGATTCGGCTTACTGCGGATTGAACCCAGTGCAGATTGAGCTCAGTGCGCATTCGGCCTAGTGTCGATTCGACCCAGTGCGGATTGGACCTAGTGAGGATTGAGCCCCGTACCAGGCCAGGACTCAGTGTTCTGTGTCATTATTCCCCAAAGGAACTTCCATACAACTTTAGTCTCCTTTTAATTTACCCACACGTCCTCGAACTTCGATTTCTTCCGTGCGACTGAATTATTTAGGTGATTATGTGGACGAGCGCACTATCATCGGCACGCATGCTGTTAAATACCCTAGATAATCTACAAGCGCTCAGTGCTTGAACTCCACTCAAGCACTTCTTGGTTCACAGTCACGCGCGGACTGTTACAAAGTCAAGATGCCACAGAGCTCCGTGAAAAAATACATATAGTACGAAAAGTATCGATGTTCGACAGTTACATCAACAACAATCTAATGTTTGTTAATTTAACGCATTTGAAGCAAATTTTGTTCTAATACTTACTATAAACTGATTTAATTTAAAATACCTATTTGTGGTATTCAAATGCATGGTCGTACCTGCTATATTGCTAACCAGCGATTGGAACCGTACGATAATTATCGTACACATACGATAATTTCATGCCTACGCACGATGTACGATATAATAGTATTATCGTACGCACATTTTACGATACGGATGTAGATAAATTCGATAGTATTCTAATACCAAATGAGAAGTTTTAAATAAAAATATTAATTTTCTGAAGTGAACATAATATTAATAATAGTTTTAAGATAATCTTGTTAGATTTTGTTATTTTATAACTTGAAGATTATATGTAAAATGTTATAAAGTTACTTTCGAGAATCTAGAATATATTAGGGTAATATGAAAAAGTCTGATTATATTCATCACTGACCCTGAATTTTTTTTTGTTATAAATTCGAAATATTAGTCTGCTGGATTAAGATCTGCAGTAAGAGACATGTAATTTTTTCAGTTGAGTTTAAAATGTTGGCGCCAATATGGATTTTCAAGTTAAGGGGCGAGGCGAGTAGCGCAGGCCTGTCTAATATGTAAAAAATATAGTTGAAAAAGATTGTAAATAGTTTACAAACAATTAATTATGAAGCATACGTTAAAAATATTGATATCATGTTTAATACAAGTTATTTATTAATTATAGTGATAATTTAAAAAAAAACAGGAAATTTTGCTCCATGTACGATAATTCTACGCTACTGGTACGATAGTTGCCTTGCTTCAAGTTGTGAACACTGTTGCTAACAGCGCATTCAGAATTTCATATAGAGTCAAAGAATAAGGTCTTTATAGGAATATCTCGTAAAATTTTACGAGCTTGCATTTCGAACTGTCAAAAGTCTTTGACGCATGCGTTTTAAAATTAAGTCCTACAGTACGCATTAAAGTGACTTTCAATGTTTTCATCATCATCAGCCTATTAATGTCCCCACTGCTGGGGCACAGGCCTTCCCTATGGATGGAATAGGAAGATTGGGCCATGACCCACCACGCGGGCCCAGTGCGGATGGGTGGGTGCTAACGACTGCAAATGCAGCCGGGACCAACGGCTTAACGTGCCTTCCGAAGCACGGAGGAGCTCGAGATAGTAAATTTTTGGTCACCCATCCAATGACCGACCACTGCGAAAGTTGCTTAACTTCAACGATGGCAGCCGAACGCGCTAGCCACCTGTGCCATCGAGCTCCTCGTTCAATGTTTTAAATAATGCCTTTTATGGTTTTTGACCAGGGGGATTATCTTACGGATATCCGTGGATCGTACAATGTACGTTTTGGACACGTTTCGCCACGATTTTGTTCGTGTTGTAGTATCTAACTACACAATCATGCGTGTCTATAATCACTCATCATTGGCCATTGTGAAGAGGGGACAGGCCATAACGTTTACAAAGACGGTGGCCGCACCGGCGCGTTCCAATTTTGGCCACATTCAACAAGATCTTGGTCGCACTGTAGTCTGTGTGACATAGAGTAACTTGACTTGATTAATAGGTAGTCTCCCTCTTGTCTATAGTCTAGTCTGAATTAGTCTGTGACTTTGTGTTTGTGCGATTGTTTTATCTGGCTGGTGACTGATTTTAGTTTTAGTTTACGATAAATTTCATAATTTACTTTCAAACAGTACTTTTGTACATCAGAAATTAACTTTTTAGTATCATTGCAAAACAAATTTGAATACTGTAATGGGAAATAGTAATAAAAATTTTAGTCTGAACAGTTTGTTTACGTTGTCGCGATAAATGTTATCGTACCCATGATGTTGAAGTTTGTAATTCTTAAAAACAAACATTTGTTGGTGTTTATTTAGTTGACAATAAAAAATGTGTTTGAGATGAACATAGCTTATTCATATTTGAATACAATACGATTTAATAATTATTTTGACAATGGAGGGGCCTGGGATGAGTTTGTTCCAAGGAGCACCCAGCATTCACATAAATAACAGTGCTCAAGATAGACTTGAAGAGCAAGAAGAACTCGAAGACGAGAAGAGACGTAATGAAGAGGTATAATTATTTGAATTTTACATATCTTCATGCATTATAGAAATAGCTTCTGTGATGTCTGTGGGATGGAAGAAATATCTTCTGTGATGTCTCAGACTCCTTTGAGATTAATCAATGTCCAGTGGCGACAGAGCATCAAAAGCGCAGTTTGAGAGTAAAAAAAAATGTTAATCAATATCACATTTGGCAAATAGCTCAGTCTCAGATCTTGTCTCAGAAATGATGATGATAAGTTGTCAAGTCTCTTATAAACTGTTTGAAACACCAGGTCTCCTGCCTTCTGCCCTAAAGGTCCTGAGTTCGAGTATCAACAGGAACACATCTATTTTTGTGACAAATGCAATTAATATTTTCCCCAATTCCCAATCAATGCTACTAAATATGCTTTTAATGTCTTCTAAACATTGTAAAAAGTATAATTATCTTATTAAAGGATTAGGACTGGTAGTTAATGTTCCTACTCTAAAATACACTAGATTCCATAATCACAGTGTTTTAGTTACAGAGCAGCATTCCTTATTAGCAAAACTCCTGAACTTTTGATAAATATACAATTTAGTAAGGCATCACCTCACATGGCTATTCAAGTTTGCTATTTGTAAACTTGAGAACAGACTCTCCTTTTCACTCATTATAGAGTTTTAATATGGTAACCTGCTGTTAAAATAACTAATATAAATAGCGATATGAAGTGCTGGCAATGTATATACTTGTTTCTTTTATCTATATCAATGGAAAACATTTGATATAACAGTCGAAGAGCAGTATATATTATTTTTAATATATTATAATAGTTTTTATTTTGTATATTTCAGCTAAAACACAAGTTGGCCAATGCATTTGATGACCTATTAGATGATGACGAAGCAAGCTCTGTCAACAGCAGTGGTAACTTTACTTTGGATGTGGGGCAAAATGGTGGTAAGATGTATTTAACTGTATCTTGTAAGGAATAACTTCCTTTTATACCTAAACATGTTAACCCTACTCTGTTTTTGTTTTATCAAAACTAGGACAGAGTCTTTTTCATGAAATTTATTGATGTGTTAATGTGCGTGAACATGATAATTTTTATTGTATACCTGTTCAACATTTTCTACCAACATGTTCTACAGAACCTAAACTACTTCTATCTATAAGTCTTGTAAGTAAATATTTACAAAATATAAATGTATGCAGAAAAATGATCATTCTATTCAACTCACAATCCATATTCATCATCATCATCATGATCAGCCTATTAATGCCCCCACTGCCCAGGCACAGGCCTTCCTTATGGATAGAATAGAGAGACAGCACAGTGCGGATTTGTGAGTGCTAGCAACAGATGCAGCTGGAACCTTTCCTTGAGAAAGTTGCTAACTTCAACGATCGCAGCCCCAAGCGCTAACCACATGCGCCAACAAGCTCACCTAAAACCATTTCCAAGCTATGTTATTCTTCATGGGTAATTATTTCATAAACATTGCTGAATGTAACCAATTTCTTTACAGGGCAACAGAATGCTAGAACTGGTTTGCCTCCTACTTATGTGGAATCATTAAATCATTTAAAAGAGCAGGACACTCCTAAAGCTTACTGCGAAACTCCTAAAAGCAACTCTCAATTGAGGCAACAAGAAGAACCTCTTAAATTGCCTTTCAGTCCCTATGGGGCTGGTGATGGTCAGAACCATTATTTTCAGCCAGAGTTCAGAGGTTTTTATAATTTCTTTCTTATGTGATAACTAATGACGATGCTGACACTTTATATTTACTACTAGTGGCCGCCCGAGACTTTTTGACTTTATTTTTGTTTTATCTGTGTTTTTAAAAATCCTAACACTGGAAAAGTGTTATGTTTCTGAGGATTTTATAATATGTAAAATTTTATCTAAATCTGTTCAGCCGTTTTTCCGTGATTGAGTAACAAATATATAAACTTTCACATTTACTATATTATTAGGATTTTTAATTGTGACCGTGGCAGTATAATAACCTTATCATGCTTTATAAGGACTGCTGTCGACATGTGAAGTATGAAAACATTGTTAAAATTGATACTGATTTAAAAGATGCAGACCTGAAAAGGCTGCCAAACATCAATAAATAAATAAAGTTTCGTGCATTAACCCGTAAAAACTAGTTTTATTTACTGATTTAAAAGGTCTGTTTATTATATTTTCTTTCCTAAACCACTAAACTGATTTTTAGGAATGTGGCATGGAGAAAATGGTGATTTTGAGACGGATTAAACTACTTTTTGGTTGACTTTCTCCAATGTAGTAACATGGATTTTTGTCTTTCAATATTCCCTAAATTTACTTAGAATTAAATACTAGTTCTTTTCATTGTGATTTTCTTCATTATGAATGAGTAATAATATGGGCTAATATATATAGTTTTATTTAAAATGGTTTTTATAGCACAGTGTGACCTAAACCCGCACTTTACGCACGCTTTTCCGTGACCTAAGTTGCCTATTTCTGCTCGGTGTGTAAATGAATTGACCAACTTTCCTCCGGCCCCCCCAACCCCCCCCCCCCCCCCCCCTCTTGCCCGCGTCCGGGGCGGGTTTATGTCACACTTGCTATAAAATAGTATACGATACTTGTGGCCTAAGTTGTCTATTACTGCACGGCGTACACGCCGTGCAGTAATAGGCAACTTAGGTCACGCGTATCGTAATGTACTATTATCAAATTGCTTACATTTCAGTTCATCTTAATGGCATCAACAACAACAATTTTGATGCCAGACAAGAGTATACAAATAACGAACAAATGAAAGTTATGTATGAGGTAATTTGTTTTAAATATTGCTTTTCTTATAATGGTTTAATCAAAAAAAGAATCAAGTAAACCTTTTATTCTAAGGTTGAGTCCCAAGATTCAACCTTAGAATAAAAGATAATAAATGTGGCGGCGACATCTACAAGCCCCACATATCATTATGAACTATGCAAGAATTGACACTAGATAACAATGATAGCGCTACCGGCGCTGCACTCAAAAAGTATAGAAGCCTAGATCACGCTTACGAAATTCGGAAACTAACACGTCATAATATATAATACGCAGCCATTTTCAGTCAAGCTGCGGCCCCGTAACACTAATAATTTAAATAAAATTTTCCCTCCCAGATGCGTTTAAAAGAGTGCCAGCAATTAGCCGAGCAAATGCAGAAATTCGACATGGAAGTAGACAGTCTGCGTGCTCGGCTCGCCGCTGCCATCAACGACAAGGACAAATCAGAACTGTCACTGCAGGAAGCTCATCATTTGCTTGGTAATCACACTTTTAGATGATAATATTTGTCTCCCAGATGCCTCTATAGGAATGCCAGCAGGTGCAGAAGTTTGATGTGGAGGTAAAAAGTCTTGCTGGTGCCATCAACGACAAGGACAAATCAGAATTGCCACTGCAGGAAGCTCATCATTTGCTTGGTAATTACAATTTTTGATGATATATTTGTCTCTCAGAATCCTCTATAGGAATGCCAGCAGATGCAGAAGGTTGATGCGAAAGTAGAAAGTCTTGCAGCTGCCATCAACGACAAGGACAAATCGGAACTAGCACTGCAAGAAGCTCTTCATTAGCTTAGTAATTACACTATTAGATAATATATTTATCTCCTAGATGCCTCTATAGGAATGCTAGCAGATGCAGAAGTTTAATGTGGAGGTGGAAAATCATGCTGCTGTCATTAACAACAGGGATAAATCAGAACTGTCACTGCAGTAAACTCATCATTTGCTTGGTAATTACACTTTTTGATGATATTTTTGTCTCTCAGATGCGTCTATAGAATGTCAGTAGTTTGCTGAGCTGATGCAGAGCTGCAGAGCCCATACAGTGTTTACTTTGGGACTGGGCTTATTCCTGTGAGTGTTAGTAAATAGTTATTTATTAATATAGTATTTGACAAGTTTTAGAAAACGATCTCAAATCATTAACGTTTATGGAGTTAACGTTTATTAATGTTTATGGAGTCCATACAAAGTAAATATTTTTATTTCTATTGTGTAATTCAGTAAAAAAAACTAAATTAAAAATTCAATTTTGAAGTTGCCGCGAGAACTATTCTTTGGACATTATGGCGTCTCACTAGTGCGACGTGCGTGTCGTCAGACAACTGTCATTAAAACGTCAAACAATACAATGTAATGTCAATGTGGCCGGAATTTTACTAGCGTCTTACGTCATTTTAGTCTTGGCCAATCCCAAACGTTGATAGTACACATGACCATGGAGCAAAAAAATCATTTCTACTGAATTATCTTATAGAAAAGTTATTAGTTATTTATTCTTTCAGACTAGTAAAATCGCTGCCAATATTCATATTAAATACAGATGCCAACAATTGGTACATTATTTTTATACTGTCAAATAGCCTATTCTTTCGCTTTCAATCCCGCATAAGCGATCGTTGGTCTACTTTCGTTAGCATTTATTTATTATTTTCCAAAAAAGAAATCTAGTCAGCTCGCAGTCCACGATTTTTTCTTTTGACTTTTATATATAAAACAAGTAGCAGGAAATGAAAATGATGCTCAAAAAATATAAAAGACGTTTATTTACGAATATCTTGTTCTAGCATCAACCAAGCACAAATTGATAGAGTTGGAGCAAGAAGTGAACTCGTTGACCACCAAGTTAGTTGAGAGCGAACAAGAGAAGGATCAACTGAAACTGGAGCTCCGGTCTGCCAACATGAGCTTACAAGACGTTCAGCAAAGGCTGCACATTATGCAGGTATTGAGTTCGGTTCGGTCGGTCGGTTGAAGTTAGAAGGAGAAAAGAGTTGGCCTCTGTTTAGGTGGTCTCACTCTGTCCGTCTTTTTAAACTCGAAAAAGAATAAATATTGTTACGTGTCCGGATGGGGTTGAAATTATAATGGCAGTTCATGATTTATAGATTTTATTCAGTACACAATTCTATGGTAAACACACAAAACTACACACACTATATACGTGCTAATACTTCCGTGGCCGAGTGGTTTGTACGCCGGGTTTCAAGCTGTCGCCGACTCGAGAGGTCCCGGGTTCGATTTTCGGGGGGGGGGGGGCAGATGTTTGTGTGATGAATGCTATCTATATATATACGCCATATATACATACATATATATACATCTTCAAGGCCAGAGTGTATCATCCTAGGCCTCATCATCGCTTTCCACCAGGTAAGATTGTGGTCAAACGCCTTGTCTATTAAACATTAAAAAAAAAGATCTGTACTAGCTGAAAAGCGCTCCCTACAACAACGGCTAACTAGAGCCAAGATCCGAGACTCAGAGTCGCCCTCTAGTTGAGCCGACCCCTCAGATTCGAGTGGTCTAGAGGCTCCAGACGGAGAGGAGACTCCCCCCGTGGGGAGATGTCATCCGCCTGGAATACCTCTAGCGGCACTCGCCGATTCTCGGCTTGAGGTCCCCTTGGGATCTCGCCGTCCCCAAACCCGGTGACGCTGCACAGGTCATCAGCGAACAACAGCATACACACTCAAAAAAAATATTAAAATATATAGCTGAAGAGTTTGTTTGTTTGATCAGACCAGTGGTTCCTGTGATAAGCGAGTTGAACCAAACAATCAAGTTCTTCTACTTTTTAATATATATTATAGTATAGATTTTCAATGCTTTTTCAGGTTGCCCATACACACGATACAGATGCGCTTTTCAGAGAACAACAGGACAGGTAAATAAATGCTATTATATTAATATGAATAAAAAATGTATTTTTTTTGTCATTGAGGATATTAATTACTTTGCGGATGCAATAAACTCGACCCAATTATAATATTTAATTCTGATAATTAATTACTTTTATTATGCGTACTGTGAAAGAATGGAATGAGGACTACCGTTTTTTGTCTCACCAGATGTCGCCACTGTTGAGTGAAGTCCTGAAATGTAGCTTTTAAAGTTTGTTCATTCGCTCGTGTAATCAAAGTTTACATTTAAATCATTTGCCATAATGAAACTGAGTTATTACAAATGGCGAAGAAGTAATTAACATTCATGACAAACCGTGATTTTTGAGAAAAAAATGTTTTCATAGTTCTACAAATGAAAAGTATTGCCTTGAAATCTGTCATTTGATCTTGAACTATTTGTGTTCGTTATAAAAGCATTGTATGCATTGTTTTCTCTTTATAACACAGAATATATGATTGCATATATGATTGCATAGATGCAATATTTAGTGTAGGGATGTCGAAAGTTGAAAAAAATATCGATATATCGATACATCGATATTTTAAAAAATATCAATATCGGCTTCGATATATCGCGAAAAAAACATCGATATATCGGACCAATTTTCCCAAAAATATCGGACAGCAGCTCACTAAATATGACACGCGGAATAATAATGGAACGAAAATTATCTCCCTAAAAATAGACCCTATTTTCGAATGATGACATAGACAATACTAAATACAGCACAGATCATAGATATGTTGAATATCATTAATCTGAGATCCAGTTACGATTTTTCCAGATACGAATTTAGTTAGATCGTGATATGCCGCTAATAATTAAAAAAATATCGTTTTTGATACGAATTTCGATATTGGTTATTTTGTATCGATGTATCGATATATCGAATCAAAATATATCGGCAAAAAATATCGATATATCGAACAAAAAATATCGATATATCGATACATCGATATATTTTCAACAAGCCTAATTGAGTGCATGTGTAGCGTGTTTGAATATCCAATGGACAAGAAATCTGCAAGATTTGGCCACTACGGGCGCTGTAATCGCTTGACCCAAAACTTCTATCAAATACAAACCTTTTAGCTAATATTAATTATTAAGCTTTTTATTAAACAAATTACAAATACCGCGTTGTGCAGTTCCTGGTTGCTGTGAGAAAATTGCATGCTTACCGACTATAATATAATTTTACGGTCATATGCCTCAAGGCTGTAAAAAAACCCTATACTTCCCATTTTAACCAGAGGTAACCTAACTCTATGAGATGTCTGACTGATGCAAAAATAAGATAGATTTGACTAATGAGCCCGGTTATAGTTCCTAAGATCCATGAACTGTTAAAATAATCATCGAAAATGCATAATAAGAGAAAGAGTACCTTTCTACTAGCTTTTCTGCCTTGCACAGATGCTCCTCTCCTTTTCAACTCTGTTTTCAGCTGTATTACAGACCATGTTGAATACATTTTACCACTTATTTAATAATAAACGAAAATACAATATGCAATGCATGCAATATTTAGCTGTGGTTTGGGTCAAGCGTTTGCAGCGCCATCTATGTTGAGCCTTGCGTATACTTCTCCATTGTGACTAAAGCGAATTGTGATCATGCACCATAATTTACGCGGATCACTTTTGAGCCGCGTGTGTCGTATCTTCCCCTTTTATTTTTATCTTAAGGTACATGCATATAATCAGACTTTTTTTTAAAGCCAGAGTGAATAGCCTTCCTCTTGGTAACCTCACTACACCATAGATACCAAATCGTCTCTCGGACCGGATAGAAGATCAAGATCTTAACCATTTTTTAAGAAATAAAAAAATGAAAATACATTGTTTAATTTTGTATTGAAAGATAACGATGCGTATTTTTATTTCATCAATTAATAAAAAAAACTGTTATCGGATAGCTTACTAGAAAGAAATAAACCCATGCTTTATAGCAAAAACTAGATTAATTAATTATAAACAATATGATATTGTAAATAATTAATTATCTATTTTGTTAATTATTGGAAGACTTCGTCTGGGTAGTTAATTAGATGCCCATACAAAATTCATTCCTTATTTTACCCCATTCAAGTTTTTATTTTCACTACAAAAAGTCAGATGCCTGAAATCGTCTGCAGAGTCCAATCTGTTTCTACATTAAAATTCAGCATAATAGATTCATTTGTTGTTTTATTTTATTTATTTGCCTTCAGGCAACATAGACCCATATATATACCTATATTGTAATGTCGTACGGAATTTGATTGTGGGGAAATGCCGCCGACATTCAAACTATTTTTGTGCTGCAGAAGAGAGCTATTCGATCAATTTATAATCTTAAAGTTATAGAATCGGTAAGAGATAAGTTTAAAGAATTTGGAATAATGACGGTCGCATCACAATACATATACGAAAATTTATTACTTGTAAGAAAAAATATTAATTTGATTATTAAAAACGGTGATGTTTACACACTTAATACAAGAAACAAAAATAAACTAACTTTACCTGCTACTAGACTTCACAAAATTAATAATTCATTTAAAAGTTTTTCTGTTCGCTTATACAATAAAGTCCCAAGCAATATCCAAGAGTTAACCATAAATTAATTGAATGATAGTATAAAAAAAAGGTAAATTTAAAAAATCAAAAACCTGACTGCTTAATTATACTTCAAATAAAAACTGAAAAGAAAAAAACAAGTCCAGTAGTCTATAATTCTGTTAATAAGGAACAAAGCTACTTTAACAGTCGGGACCCATTAGATATTGAAGAATACATAATATTTTTCAACAGTGGGTCCCGACTGTTAAAGTAGCTTTGTTCCTTATTAACAGAATTATAGACTACTGGACTTGTTTTTTTCTTTTCAGTTTTTATTTGAAGTATAATTAAGCAGTCGGGTTTTTTGATTGTTTAAATTTACCTTTTTTATTTCACACTTTTTAGTTAGTTAGTATTTTAAGACGGTATATACCGTAGTCTTGTGACTTCAGTATGGGAATTAATATCGCGGGAATTATTAAGTACCTGGCGTCGGCCTAAAAGATTGATTTATTAAGACATATAAAGACTTTACCAGCGGGGTCAAGGCTACAGATGGGCCTCAATTTTCGCAAAAATGTGTGAAGTTAAATCAAGTCGTTACATAAATATCTCTTATGTATGTAAATTTTATAGTAAACTAGCACTTACTCAAAAAGTCATCTTTTGTTTTTAATAGTTTAGCAGTAAATATAAAATTCATTTACTTTTATTCGTCGACTATTAAAAATTGGCAGTGGCTGCATTGTCATGTCAATGCCGGACGTCTAAGATTGTGATATACACAAATTCAGTGTCAGTCCCTAGTCTCATAATTTGATAAACCTACATAATTCACAGAAACACAATATGTAGATGCCAGAAGTTAACTTCAAATGTTTTTAATCACCCTATATACAATACCAATCAATGACGTTTATGTCGCAGGTTGAAGAAAGCAGTAATTCGCCTGCAGCGTCTGTTGTTTTGGACAATGGTAGCAATTGCCATTGTTAGATCACTAAATTAAATAATTATGCAATCACCAAAGCAAAGTTTATATATATATAGTATATTTGATTAAACTAAAGGCGCATAATAAAATTTTCATAAAGTTAGGTAGAGCACCATAGCAATCTCATTTATTATCAATTTATAGTTCTCTTTGTAGTTTTCTTTTAAAACGTTCACATTTAACAGGTCAAAGACTTTGTGTTCGACCCTTTTTTATTGGTAGTGTAAAGCTCGAATGAAGAGTACTCCCAGTAGTGCAACCATGGCAATTATTTTCCAAATTTTTTTTTGTTTAAACAAATACCGAATAACGTACCACTGTTAAGCACAAATGCTAAGTAACTTTTACAAATATAATCAAATAAACCTATTACTTACTTTATTTTTAAATCTTTTTCATCAATTAAATACTTATAACTATCTATACTAATATTATAAAGAAGCAAGATTTGTATGTTTGTAACAAATAATCTGTCAAACTACTGAACCGGTTTCAAATATTAATTCATCATAAGGTAGCTACGTTATTTATTATAACCTTTTTTCTTTATTTAAATACATTTTGTCCGAGTGACATAGGCTATATTTTATCCCGATAAATAAATTTCGCCCGTACAATGCCCGGGTGGATCACTAGTAAGCATAATATAATATTATAGATGCGAAAGTGAATTTGTTTGTTGCACTTCCGTGCCCTAATAGCTAAATCGAATACAATGAATTCCCATATAGAAGTAGATGGGAACTTGGTTCTTAGCTACAACATCGCAATACTTATAGGCGTAGGGTGATGAAAGGGGTGATTTGCCTATAAAAATCTACATTATTTACTTTGAATTTTGCAGAATTATTACAAAACCAATATTATCGCGAGCTGATTAATAAATATAGGGATTCCAATAAGTATGTACTTACTAGCGAAAAATGGGTTATTTGTCATTATATTAATAAACCTTTTTTGTAACATTAAGTAATATCGTTAAAAAAATGAAAAACAGTAAAATTCTGAGTTTTTCATTAAAATTCAATAATCATAAATACCTATTATGATAATATATTTTTCATCATTTAATAAGAAGGAACTGTATCACAGTTTTATTGTTAGTACTTCGTATAGGATCAGATACTGCGAATACCCCAATTTTTTTTCTTTTACATAGTACACCGCGCTATCATTTTGTCATCATTGTAACTTTATAAATATTTGTCGAAATGACATAGTGTAAAAAGCAAAGTTTATCGTCTTTAAATATCAAAAGCGATAAAAGTATTTGTTTGGATAAAAAATGATTTGTTAATACAAAATGTGCATTTTGGAAATAGATATCAAATAATATTTTAGTTTTGATTCACTATTTTAGCGGTAATGACTTACACATTAAAAATAGATATATGGTATCACGGACTTTTTTTAGAACTATTTAAAAGATACATTTTCACTCTACATTATATTCATGTAACTTTTATTGTCTTTGCAGTGCTGCAGCTGAGCGGCGGTTCGTTCCTCGAATGATGCGCGAGGCTATTGAGATTAAAAAATATCCAAATTTCAATAGGGAAGATGGTTGGTATATACCACCAGCTTGGGAACCTATATACAGGAGATAAAATCCCAACCCCGAGCACACACTGCAAGACCATCAGATACTATTAGTTCTTTTTGTTTGCATAATTTAACATAAGAAGGAGATAGAAAGCCTCTCTTGAGTTTGTTTCGCCGGTTCTTCTCAGGAAGGTCTCCCAATTTTGGAACCGGTGGTAGTTTACGGTAGTTAGGGTCAAATAAATAAACTCAAAATTACAAACAAGAATTTTAAATAAAATACTTTATTAAGTAAATTAAATAATAAATTCATACATAGACAATAAAACTTAAAAATCGAACAATGAAATAACCAAACGCTCAATAAAAGTCTTTCGAAGGTAGCTCGACAAATTAAATAAAAGTTTTATTCTGACGACGTAGCCTGTAAAGACTACGAAACGTCAATAAATAAATAAAGTTTTCGTGCATTAACCCGTAAAAACTAGTTTTATTTAATGAGTGATGTGCGTGAAAACCCAAGAAACAAATAATCATATAAAATGAAAAATGGTGTTAGGAACCTAAATATGATTTTTGATTATCTAGACAGTGATACCCCACTCGACATATTTTGGCAACTTATTTTTTTTACTTCGTCACAATATGGCGCCTAATGTTGCCCATATTGAATTTTGATTACTATTATATCTTTAGTAGCACTCCCATGATTGAGACGAATCGAATGATGTATGAATCATCAAAATCGGTCCAGGCGTTTGGTCTCTAGTGTGCCACAAAGGAACAAACATACATATATAGACTGTTAAACACATAACTCTGTCTGCGCGTCGCGCTTCGCGCTCTTGCATTGCGCAGCCGGGTAAAAAGCACTTATTAAAAAAACTTATTACAAAGTGTTTGATTATATTACAGACAAAAATGCTTGGGTTTGAACTGTTCCAATCATTCCAACAGGTTTTCTATATTAAATAAATCATATTTTTTTCATTGTAGGCATAGAGAAGAGGTGGATAGGTTGCAGAACGATCTATTGAAAGCGAAAAACAGACTGGAGGATAAAGTAAGTATATGATGTGGGATGCGAATCGCAACAGGTGTGTGAGTGAGATGTATGCATGAGGAAGAAGGACGGAAGAGGAATAGCGCCATTTACATGTCATGGCAGCAATTATAATTTTCTTAGCGGATGCCTACGTCATAACATATACCTGCATGCCAAATTTCAGCCCGATCCGTCCAGTGGTTTGGGCTGTGCGTTGATAGATCACTATGTCAGTCAGTCACCTTTGAGTTTTATATATATAGATTAGTAGAATTTGTATCTCTAAACCATTGTTACAGGAGAAGGATATAAAAGTGTTAGAGAGGCGATGTAAAGACATCGAGAGAGAGAAGGGTGACATCATAGTTGAGAAGGGTGCGATGGTGAATCGGTTAGTGAATGAACTCGAAGCGGCTCAGAGGAAACTTGTTAGCGGTGAAACTGCCAAACTTAAAGAGAAGGTGGCACAACTTACAACTGAAAGGAACACTTCGAGAGAACAAGTTAAGGAATTAGGGGTGAGCTGTTTTTTTTTATTATTTTTAAATGGAAACTTTTCTTTATTATCCGTGGCCGAGTGGTTTGTACGCCGGGTTTCATGGTGTCGCCGATTCGAGAGGTCTCGGGTTCGAATCCCGCTGGGGGCAGATGTTTGTGTGATGAATATGAGCATTTGTTGTACTCCAGTCATGGATGGTTCATGTGTATTTCTAGATAAATATACTTATATAAAGTATCAGTAATGTGTATTATATCCGTTACCCTAGCATCCCATAACACAAACCTTACAATTCTTACTTTGGGGCTAGGCTAATTGGTGTGAGTGTTAAAAATATATCTTTTATTATAAAGCGTCTTATAATCATTTATTTTTTTAGTCGAAACTGGAGATAACTGCACACGAGCTGGTGCTGTGTAGAAACAAAATGGCCGCCATACAAAAGGAATACGACAATTGGCGAATTACCCTACAACAAATGTTGGCCGAAGTATTGCCGGACAATACATACTTAGGTAAGTAATATTAATATCATATTGGTGTCGATTCTAGCATGATTCTCTAAACCTAAACTTAAATTTGACAGCAGTATATCCTTGTCATTCTCTATACAGAATGAAAAGGAGAGACTGATGTTAAATTTAGTTTTAAGTTTAGAGAATCACGCCAGAATTGGCACCAGTATCGTATTAATGTCCCCACTGCTGGTGTACAGGCCTTCCCTGTGAAGGCTTGTAACCGGTATTTTAACGGTAATACCGTTATTAACTTTTTCGGTTACTGAATACCGGTACCCCAAAAAAATACCGGTATTTATCCTCGAGTTGCGCGTTGCCGATTCGACTCAATACGTGAATGAGGCCGATAGAAATATAACGTTGCCACTTCGTAAACATTCAAACGGACTTAGCGGTGCTCGCCGATCTTCAGAAACAAAGTATCTAGTCATAGAGCGGAGCCTATTCATAACAAACAAACAAATATTTTCTCTTTATAATCTTATATATAAAATGTTACTAATGTTAGTTACCTTACTCCTCCGAAACGGCCTGACCGATTTTTATGAAATTTTAAATGCATATTCCGTGGGTCTGAGAATCGGCTACTATCTATTTTTCACATACTTAAGTGATAATGGTTGTACCCACCTGTAACGAAGTGTTCTGAAACCTACAATGCGCCTTCGCGCCATTATTCAAACTATTGGGTATTGTAACGTACTGTTCTCATATGGGTTAGGAGGAATGTTATCCCACGAAATTGATAGAACACTACGTTACAATCCCCTAAAGTCTTTTTTGCACGTTTTTTTTAATGTGGTGTTAACAATATATATACAACCCTAATATTTCTCTTCTACCACCTGCCCCTTTTTTATGGCGGTACGATGTTCGCTGGGTCCACTAGTATAGAAGTATAGATTGTTCAATCACAATAATAATATTTATTTAACAAACATAAAATGATAAATTAACTTTAGTTTTACAATGTGCACCTTAAAGTTAATATTTTCAAAATAATGTGAGTCTCAAACTACCTATATCTCTCCCAAACTGTATCTCAGGAGTCAGTAGCTCCTCCCAAATAAGTAAACTCAATAGCGTACATCTTTAGAACTTATTGTTATGATTTAATGCAAATGAATCTGTATGTGTGTGTGTGCGAGCCTTACAGTAGTCGTGTATGACGTGTAACATTTGAAACCTCACCTTATATTAGTAAAAAGAAATAAAACCTACTACAAAAGGAAAAAGCCAATTGAATATTATGTTCTAAAATCAAATCAAATAGCGCGCGCTTCCCAAACTTCCTGTTACACACCTCCTTCCCACTTCACGTAATCAATCCCACAAATTGCACGAAAGCGAGAGGAAAGATATTACATTTCTAAAAATAGATGCGGCGACATGAAAGCTGTGTCGCGTCCGTATTGCTGTATGTATCTAGTGCCCAATGCAACTGTCGGTATTTGTCCAATTCGCACACAAAAATTCTTCTCTGATCTCATATCGGTATCAATACCTGTATTATATTCGTAAAATACCGATATTTTAAAGGTATTTATTTATTTTATTTATTTATTTATTAGGACCACCAGGGAAAGTTACATTAAATATTATTTTTAAACATTATAGTGATACATACAAAATGCAAAATTCTATTGAAGGTAGCCACATCATGCTTAGAGCCATTACGCACTGTCGACTAGTCGCCGGCGACTCAGTCTCTCGGCGACCAAACCAGCCCGGGCGACTGACGACTAAGTGCGCAAGCACTTATTTAAACTATAGTAAGTCACAGTCGCCGGCGACTCAGTCGCCGGCGACTAGTCGACAGTGCGTAATGGCTCTTAAGAGACAATACAAACGGATGAATTTTAATTAAATAAACAAACAGAAACACAAACTGAAACCACATGTAAATAATGAAGTTTATGAACTATTAGTGGTATTGAAACTATAGATAATAGAAAACGAATATATATATAATTAAAGGTATAAAACCATTTCAACACATTCGCTCGAAAAATGCATTTACGGAGGTTGTACAGGCCCTACAACGCGGTAAAATGTTTACCGCACGCTCCCTTACATGGCGCCGTGCGATTTCTTTACGGTTTTTTTTTTCGATCGAACCTCCTTGGAAGCGCTTTTAATCTATGGCTTTGTCTCACTTTAATACAAAAACAAAAAAGAGATGGTATAATATAATTGGTATGGTACATTCGTCAACTCGTTTGTACGAACCAACTTACCGCACCAATATCATAAATAACTATTACAATACCAGTATACTTCAGAAAATGTCGGTATTATTATACCTGTATAACAATTATTACCGGTATGCTGTCAAGGCCAATGATACCGGTTTTGGAAAATACCCGTATTCCAAGGCCTGTGGGATAGGGAAAACGGTCCATGACCCACCACGCGGGCCCCAGTGCAGATTGGTGGGTGCTAACGACTGCAGGTGCAGCCGGAACCAACGGGAGGCCGAGATAGTAAAATGTTGGTCATCCATACAATTATAGAAGAACTAGTTAACTAGTTTTTTGAGAATCACACTGGAATCTTAACATATTTCCGGGATAAAAACTATCCTATATCCCAAATTTCATACTAATCCGTTCAGTAGTTTTAGCTTAAAAGAATAACAAACTTGCATACAAACTTTCGCATTTATAATATTAAGTATGATGTTGCTTGTAGACCGAACGAGCTGGTAAAAGCACGTAATTGCTATCTAGTTATCTCAATAAAAACTTCTGAGATTAATATTCAATAGGGATGATTACGGGGTAAAGTAAAAGTAATTCTATTTAGTCTGTCAGTTAGATTATCAAGTACCTAATACATAAATAAATAATAAATAAATATTTCCAACACTCAAACCAATTAGCCTAGCCCCAAAGTAAGCACTGTAGGCTTGTGTTATGGGATACTAGGGTAACGGATAGAATACATATATAATGCGATTCAACTAAAAATAGGACCGACTGGGTGCCATATTGTGATGTCCTAGCTGTTAGTTCAAACCAAATAGGTAGAGTGAGCAAAAAAAAGTTTTTATTTAATAAAACCTATTTACTAAGATTAAGTGAGAAACGCATAAGATTTTTTAAATAACATTTATTTACTAAGATTGAGAAAAAAAACCACCGTTTTTTAATAATATTTATTTGTTAAGACTGTAAGAAAAAATATTAATCAGAATCTAGCTCTTTTATTCCGCTCATCTCTGCATTACCGGCAGAGTAGTTATGAATAATCATGCACTATTACTAGGTCACATACAAACATGCCACCTTTACTAAACGAAAGTTTTAAATCGAGTTTCTGAACGCAACTTAAAGTGACATTTGGTTGACGATTTAGGATATCAAACATCATGACCAAAGCTCAATAAGTGGAAAAAAATATCAACCGATATTAATTATCAATATTTGTTATTGTTTGTTTACAAATGTTTGGTTTTTATTCTTGAATTAGCAGAGTGCTAAAAAGTGTTCGAAGATTTTTTTTGCAAACCGTACTTTTCAAGCAAAATTTGACAGATAGAGATCATTGGCTTTCATATTCTTATTTGAATCGCATTATACATACCAATTATAGGTAATGGGTCCAATTCTAGCTTGATTATCTGAAACCTTAACTTAAATTTGACAAGAGTGTATCCTTGTCATTCTTTATACAAATTGAAAAGGAGAGACTGATGTTTTAAGTTTAGATAATCACGCCATAATCGACACCAATGAAGGGTCTTCCACGGTATATCGAATTCTAGTATATCAGATGTCAGTTGATCTGTGACAATAAACCGAAATCCAAATATCCAATATGCCATTTGATTGAATGACAAATAATCGATAGATCAATATAAGTATATTTATATAGAAATACATATTAAACATCCACGACTGGAGTACAAATGCTAGTATTTATCACACAAACACCTGCCCCCACCAGGTTTCGAATCCAGGACCTCTCGAGTCGGCGACACCATGAAACTGATGAACACTCGGCCACAGAGGTCGTCAAATAATAATGGATACTTATATTTTTCTTTTGCAAATCAACAAAAAAATTACAAAGGTATAACACGTCAAAATTTGGGAGGTAGGGCTCATGACGTCACTTCTAAGTAAAAATTGTACCAATTCATGCGACATTAGAAATCAATATATCTCTGTAATGTTTTGGTTGTTTGATTAAAGACAAAACGCGTGTCCGATCCTTTTTGTAAATGTACCTGATAGACAAAGAAGAAAAAGTTAGTCATCCTCCTTATTTTAAACCTTATGTCCTCGTGGTCAAAGACTTTATTAGGTTGTTAAATTGCTGTTTGATTTCTTTCATAGGAGAAACACCATCACCGGGCAAACTGACAACTCTCAAGGAAGTCTTAGGTCGGTACAGAATACAAATGCAGAAGTTGGCAACACTGCAGGAGGATGTTACAAAACGGTATGAATTAGCATAATAACATATTGTCTTAAACTTTCATGATCACATTCACATAATTAACTTTATTATATACTTAGTTATAAGCGGGATTTGCTACCATGTTGGTTGGTGGCGGCAAACTTCTTGACAAGCTGTACAAATTAATTATAAAATTTATTAGAATAAGGAGTCATCAGCATCATCGGCCTATTACTGTCCCCACGGCTGGGGCACAGGCCTTCCCTATGGATGGAATAGGGAGATTGGGCCATGACCCACCACGCGGGCACAGTGGGGATTGGCGGGTGTTAACGACTGCAGATGCAGCCGGGACCAACGGCTTAACGTGCCTTCCGAAGCACGGAGGAACTTGAGATAGAAGATTTTTGGTCACCCAACCAAGGACCGACCACTGCGAAAGTTGCTTAACTTCAACTATCGCAGCCGAACGCGCTAACCACCTGCGCCATCGAGCACCTCAGAATAAGAAGTAGTAATAATTAGTTAATAGTATAATTACTGTAAACACTTTAGGCTGACATACGGCAGACAAAGCCGTTAAATACAGATTAAAAAACTTCTTGACCAAAACCATAGAGAAATCAACTTGTGCTTTAGACGTTTTTGTATAAAAATGGCTAACTGCGCAATCTTCTTTGTCTATGGCGCTTGCCATGATAATGGAGCAACAGTTCGTGATGTCGCTTGGAACAGATCTGCCATGATCACATCCTTATATTACAAATGTGAAGCCAGCACTTCAGTTGGCTATTCGTATTTGCTATTTTGTAAATTAGCAAACAGTCTCTCCTTTTATTATATAGACTATGATTAGGATAACCTGTTGTTTGTCAACATGACAAAAAACAAACACGAATAGTTATTTGAAGTACTAGCATGAAAGTTTGTATGTTTGTTACTTAATCCAACGATATTAAATACCCTAGATACAACAACACGAACAAAATCATGCCCGAAACCTGTCGAAAAGGTATATTGGACGATCTACGGAGCTACTCAAGATGATCGCGTAGTCTAAACAATATATGGCATTATTTAAACATTGAAAATCACCTTTAAAGCACATCGTATAAGGTCTTAATAAAAACGCATACGTCCAAGAGTTATGACAGTCCGAAATGTAAGCTCGGTAAATTTTACGACTTATTGCTATATGCGGATGAATTGACCTTATTTCTTTGACTCTACGCGCAATTCTGAATGCGCTGTTAGCAATATAGAAGGTACGGACCGCGAGGAAAAGAGACGGCTACATTACCGCCCATGCATTTGAATATCACAAATATTTTGTATTAGAATCAGAAATTTTATTGCATTTCATGTGGTAAATAAGGTCTAACATTGTTATATGGTACAAACACATGAGTCCTGTTAGGACATAACAATATTGAACTTATAGCTAAAATTAAATTTATGTCAACATTATAAGTAGTAGTATATTAACAATTATCAAATAAATATCAAGTCAATTTTAACAAAAATAATTAAGAATAATAATAATCAGCATGTCAAGGTGTCTTTAATATTTGAAATTATTTAATAGTCCTATAGTATTCACATAATTTATAAAAACATTTATTAACAAGGTAATCATTTAAGGTTGTAACAAACTTATCGTATTCGTCTATCTGTCTAATATGCTTTGGTAACTCGTTGTACAATTTAATCGCCATTGAATACGGCCCTGATCCAACTATTGATAGCGTAGTTTTTGGTACTACAAATTTATATCTACTTCTAAGTTGTGTTGATCCAGTATAATTATCTTTACGATTTACAAAAATATTTTGGTTCTTTTTTACTAGTTTACATGCTTCCAGGATATATAAAGACGTTACAGTTAGTATTTTATATTTTATGAAAAATGGTCTACAGCTTTCCATTGTATCTATATTGGCCATGATTCTTATACATTTTTTTTGTAGCGTAAGTAATTTAGGAGCATCCGAACTGTTTCCCCAAATAGGTATGCCATATCGCAACCATGATTGTGCATATGCGAGATAAGCTATTCTGGCAGTGTGTGTATCAGTTGATCTTTTTAACTCATTTAGTGCATAGATGAATCTGGATAGTTTATTTGATATATATTCAATATGACTTTTCCAGTTAAAGTTGCAGTCTATATTAACTCCTAATAATTTAAAATTGTTTACATGCTCTATCTTTCTACCCCGTGTTGTGAAGTTTATTTTAAGAGGTTTCTTTTGATATGGTCGAAATATCAATATTTTAGTTTTTTCAAAATTTATATTAAGGTTGTGGTCATTTAGCCAAAGAAGTAATTTTGTCAAGATTATCTCTAATTTATGGTTAAGGTTTCTTTCGTCAGATACAGGAAATATAAACGACATATCGTCAGCAAACAATATACTGTCTTCATCAAAAATGCTAGGTAAGTCGTTGATATACAAAAGGAATAGCAAGCATCCAATGACGCTACCCTGTGGTATAGACTTCGTCACAGCTGTTTCGTCGGATCGAACATTTTTTATTTGATTGCTGTTATAACATTTGTGCTGAACTTCAACACATTGTACCCGGTTCTTAAAATACGATACAAGCCATTCGTGTGCTGCGCCCCTTATTCCTAAGTCATATAGCTTTTTTAATAATATTTTTGGCAAAACCCTATCGTATGCTTTACTTAAATCTAATAGCAAACCAACCCAGCATATTGTTTTTTATTAATAATTTCCAGAGCCTTTTGTACATATTTGAAAACTGCTATAGTTGTAGAGCGTTTTTTTCTGAATCCATTTTGGCTTTCATGGAAAATATTATATTTTTCACAAAAGGAATACAAACGAGTAGTCATGGCGGATTCAAACACTTTTGAAAAAGTTGGCAGCAAAGCTATGGGTCGATAGTTACTTTCTAATGTGGTATCAGATGTCTTGTGAATTGGTTTGATTATAGAAATTTTTAATTTATCCGGAACGGTCCCCTCGTCAAAAGACTGGTTGATTAAAAATGTGAGAGGCCATGCTAATTCTGCTGAGCATTTTTTTACTAACATGGGAGGTATATCGTCGTAACCACAGCTGGTTTTATTTTTCAAGCGCTTTAAGATTGCCATCACCTCCGCAACATTAGTTGGTCTTAGAAAAAACGAGTTCTGCACAGGGGAAACAACAGGGCGGCCCAGCGGCGGTTGAGATTCGTTATACGCACCTACTGACGCAAAGTAATTATTAAAAATATTCGCCACTACGTGGGGGTCTGATACTAGAGTACCCTTTGTACGTAATTTTATATTGTTGTGAGATTTTTTTGGCATTTTATTTGTTCTTTGTTTGACAATTTGCCATTAAATCAGTTTATAGTAAGTATTAAAACAAAATTTGCTTCAAATGCGTTAAAATAACAAGAATTGATTAAATACTTGTCGAAAAAACATCATTTTTACATACTATAAGTATTTATTTCGCATTTTTTAACGGAGCTCAGCGGCATGTTAACTTTTCAACGGTCCGCGCGTGACTGTGAATCAAGAAGTGCTTGAGTAGCGTTCAAGCACTTCTTGATAGGGACACATTTTGAGCGCAGTGGTGTATCTAGGGTATTTAATATCGTTGAATCAATCACGCAAAAACTACCGAACGTATTTGGATGAAATTTGGCACGCATACAGTTTATGACCTGCGTTAACGCAGGTCATAAACTGTATGCGTGCCAATCCCGCTAATCCCGGAAAAAAAATGGTATTCTTAAATTACTGAAGTTAACTTGAACATAGTCTTGACGGGTGGAAGGCAGAAATAATAATAGATATCAGATGTTGATTCTTTCTCCTTCGAAAACTTTACAAACATACAAATATTTCCTCTTTATGATATAAGAATAAATATCTGAACAATGTGGGTAACCTACAAGGCGAAGAGATAGCGTTACCTTGCAATCATACTAGGAAATTCGACACGGCCATTAAGGCCGCCGTAGCATAATTAGTAGGGCATCCGCCCGGAAAGCGGAGGCTGCGGGTTCGAGTCCCATTCGAGGACCCCGTACATTTTTTTCTAGTATTTAAATATGTAAGTAGCAGCAAATGCTTAAAATAAAATAAATAAAAACTTACAAGTCATAATTTCAGCGATAAAAAACTGGAGCAGCACAGGAAGCAAGAGTCCGAGCTTCGATCCAGATTGGAAGAACAGAAAGGCATAGAGTTGCAACTGAATTCTAAAATAGCTGTGCTACAGAACAAACTGGAGCTGCTCGGCAGCAATAGTGACAGCGATCTGGTGGAAAACTACAAGTTGCAAAATGATCGAATTCAAGAACAATTGCTCGAACTCAGGAGTGAACATAAAAAGGTTTTTAGAAAGATAGATAATATGTTCATTATGTCCTACAACAAACATATAAATTTTTAAAAGTAACACATTAATAAAGATACAAGAAAACAGCCATAAATACTGTTATGTGTCGGGATGGGGTTCGAAATTATATGCCAGTGCACGCTTGACAGTTCTTTATTCACCACACAGTTCACACAATTAACACACAATGTTAATTACAAAACACTTTTTGAAATCGAATTTAGTTATTGTTAATTGTTATTTTCTTTGCATATCCCATCCGATCCCTGATTATTCGTAATGGTTAAGTCTCAGTAAGATTATCAAAAAATAACGGACACATATTTTTTCTTTTGTATAAAGCGTGCGTTCGGGAGTGGGGACGACGGGCTTGTAAACATCATCATCAGCCTATTAATGTCCCCACTGCTGGGGCATAGGTTTTCCCTATGGATGGGATAGAGAGATTGGGCCTTGACCCAGCACGCGGGCCCAGTGCGGATTGGCGGGTGCCAACGACTGCTGATGCAGCCGGGACTAACGGCTTAACGCGCCTTCCGAAGCACGGAGGGACTCGAGATAAAAGATTTTTGGTCACCCATCCAATGACCGGCCACTGCGAAAGTTGCTTAACTTCACCCGCGCCATCGAGCTCCTCCATCTCGTGAATCACTTTTAAGTAAAAATTGTATTAAGACGTAATGTCATGAAATATTTTTCAATCAATATAATTATCTATCTCTATTGTTTCAACTATGTGAACGAATAGAAAATACGTATCCAATACCTTTTGATATTCTACTTGATAGAAGAATAAAAAATAGTTTAATAATGAACATCCTTATTAGATACATTATAGGATGAATAAATTAGATATTTTAAGAGAGGTTTAGTGGATTCTTTTATTGGAGGAGGTATTGAGGAGCCTGATGGCGTGGTTAATTAGCGCGTTCGGCTGCGATCGTTGAAGATAAGCAACTTTCGCAGTGGTCGGTCATTGTGTGGGTGACCAAAAATCTTCTATCTCGAGTTCCCCCGTACTTCGGAAGGCATGTTAACAGTGGGGACATTAATAGGCTGATGACGACAGCGAATTTCCCGCTCGAATTGGAGCGACCGTCTGGGGAAGTAACATCCGCCTTACAGATGACCACAGTAAAATAACACTACCTTTTAGTGGTATGTTTTTCTGTTGGTGAGTAAGGTTCCAGGGCCACACGGTGTAAGGGATTGTGTTGGGGTAGGCGCGAGTGATATTTTTTGAAGTGAAACTTCTTTACGCACGCTTGACTTGGGGGGTAAACTGGCGAATGCCTTACGCGTTACAAAAAGTGTGTTCGGGCGAGGTGAACGGGAGTTGAGTGGGGTATATAATCAAGAGAAAGCAGTGCGCGCTCACATTTTCTTTCTCTCTTTCTGTTAGAGCTAGTAAATGTAATATGTATATGTACATACATCTATATATTGTAAATACACACACATATACAGGGTGAAATTGAATGTTTTAATGAAACTTTGTGGGATTGTTGGGTTACTTATATAGAGTATCTCTGAATTTTTTCGGATTTTTTAAAAATGATTTAAAATATAATTTCGTTTTTTTTTTGTTATATTTTAAGTCCTTTCCTCCTTTTGGGTACTAAATAATTATTCTTTTTAAACACGCATACAGAGTAAGTAAAAAACAACTAATAAGCACTACTAAAAAAAACGTAAAAACAGAAGACGAGCGGCCGGGAGCAATGACCGCTCCCGCCCGTTGAATCGGTTGAATACCTACCTATGCGTTGAATACCTGCAAAGCGCAGTGAGCGAGCGCAGTGTCAAGTTTATAAATCGCGCGTGCGTATCTTTTAAATTTGTGACAAGAGAAGATTTGCAAATAATGCCTTGATTAGTTCTTGTTCTGTGGCCTCAATATAAGAAGTTGGATATGGTGTGTTGTTATTGTCACGGAATACTCAGCAGAGCCACAAGGCTTTACGAAAGTAGGTTTAGTGATTGATTGTGTTTACAAAGTGTATCCGGGAAGTTAAAGTGAAAAAAATGAATAGGTTCATCGGTCTCGTAAGTACTTTTGAATACCTGGTTATAAATTTTATTCTGACCCAAGTATTGAACTGCAATAAGTATTTCTTTTTGTTTAACATTTGCCTATTTCTAATCGTGACAAAATTATTATTAACTTTTAAAGTTTTTCTCTGCTTAAGAGAAGATGACATTTGTGCTTATTATTTCAATAAAGGCATAAGACGACTTTATTGTATTGTGTGGAATCAAAGGAGTCAGCTGAACTCTGTGTAGTACTCACTCAACGGCTGGCGGGCGCGGTCGGTCGTTGACCCGCGGTGGAATTTTAATGTTTTTCCATTTTTTAGAAGTGCTTATTTATTAGTTATTTTTCACTGGATATGTAAGTTTGTTTGTTTAAAATGAATAACTACTCAAAAGGAGGAAAGGACATAAAAATACACAAATTATAAATAAATACATGAAAAAAATATACTTCAAAAATTCCGAAAAAAATCAGGCATACTCTATACATGTAACCCAACAATCTCACGAAGTTTCATTAAAACATTCAATTTCACCCTATCTATATATAGATATATATATATATATATATATATAGGGTGAAATTGAATGTTTTAATGAAACTTCGTGCTTACTATACAAAAAAAAAACAAGTGCGTTTTGGACCACACGACTGAAGTGAAGTGTTAGATGGAGCTAAAGAAGTTTCACTTCAGTCGTGTGGTCCAAAACGCACTTGTTTTTTTTTGTATAGTAAGCGTCTATTATCTATGGTGGCGGCTTACCATCAGGCGGGCCATATGCTTTGCTTGCTTTTAATATGAAGAATATAAAAATTTACTACAAAAAAAAATCACTCTGTACTGTCTGAACCCTGGATAAAGAGGATATTTATCTTGTCAAATTTTGTTTACAATAAACCTAGCAATTCAATGCTTAAAAATACAATAATAAGGTATATTTTAAACTTTTCGCACACATCTCGTTTCGTAGTTGGACTTGAAGTACGCGGAACTCGAATTGGAATACGACAAACTGAAATGTGAGAAAGGCAGTCGCGCTTCATTGGCGCAGGAAGCTAATGCAGATTTATTGCGAGAACTTGAACGTTGCGGGGAGAAACTGAAGGATACACTCAGGGAGAACGGGGAACTGAAGAACTTGTATCTGCAGGTGAGTACAGTATTATCATTCCGGAGTTTTTCTGGCTAGCGAGAACTGCCATGAAAGAGTCATATTTTAATCAAGAATGTTTCATTACAATAATAAATAAACTTACAACAAAAAATATCAGAATTTCAATATTTTGGCTGTATGTATGTGAAATAATAGAGTGCTATTAAAAAAAAACATAATGCAAAAGTACATTTTTTGTACTTTCATAAAAATATATTTTCCCATTTGTTCACTGCAATAGCCCAGCCTCTATAGAAAAATATAATACGTCCTTTACAGGCATGCAGTTCCAGAGACACTATATCAAGGGAATTGAAAGACTTGCAGAGTAGGATTAACGGTGAGAAGGAGATGTTCAAATCGCAGGAGAAAGAGTATGTGGAACGAATAGAGAATGAGAAGAGACAGATACAGAAGTTGAGTGCGGAGTTAAGTAGTTGTAAGACAGAATTGGAGAATGCAAACAAGAGGATATCCGAGTTGCAGAAAGACTTCACTGACAAACAAGCTGAGTTCAGCGACAAATTGAACAAATATCTAGAAGGTTGTATAATTTTTTTATATTAGTTTTTAAAATGTGCAATAGGGTATTTGACAAGTTTTAGAAAACGATCTCACTTTATCGACTAATGTTTATGGAGTCCGTAAAAAGTGGATATTCATCATTCTGTTGTGTATTTCAGTAAAAATAACCAAATTAAAAACTCCATTTTCAAGTTGCAGCGAAATCGTTTCTCTGGACAATATGGCGTCTTCCTAGTGTGTGACGTCACACGACTGTTATTAAAACGTCAAACGATACTATGTAAAGTCACTTTAACCGGGAGTCTACTTGCGTGTGACGTCATTTTAGGCTCCGCCAATCCCAATCGTTTTGGGTCACGTGACAAAAGATAAGAAAACTATTATCTTTTTCCTTAGTTTTTGGTAAAATTATGAATATTTTTTTTGTAAAAATAGTAATAACCCCTGCCAATATTCATTCTAAACATAGATGCCAATACCCTATTAGCAGTCATCCGCGTTAAAGTCTTTTAATGTTTAGGTTATTATTAAACCCATGACAGTCATAAATAACGTGGCTTTCTGTTTGTAAAAGAATTTTCAAAATCAGTTCAGTAAATCGAAGATAATCCCCTACAACCAATCTAACACACAACCTTACCTCTTTATAATATTAGTATAGATAACTCGGTGTTCTATACATGTTTGTTATTTGTCTAATTTACGTTTTAGAAGAGAAAAAATCTCTGAGAAAGGACATAGAAGCGTGTGGCCAGTGCGAAAAGTATGTGAAACGCATACGACAATTGGACGAGCAGTTGAGCAAATTCAGCGTCAAATTAGGTAAGTTTGAAATCTTATTGTGTTTAAAGGCCGTCGCTTTAACATGAAACTAATTAATAATTAAGTTCTTTTAACTTAAAAAAAATTAAAAAGAAAAATTTAACCATAAAAATATAATACTACTAGCTATGATACCCGGCTTCGGTAGGAAGTTGATATGAGATTACGTGGTAGTTGAAATAAAAAAAATAAAATATGACGTAAAATGTAAAAAAATAAATTGAAAACATTTTCTCATTATTTACACTACTATATATTAATATTGAGGTTGATGCCACAATATTTTAAAGTTTGCCCTTGCGCTTTGTTAATTGTAAAACTAAAGGCTAATTTAATTGGAAACTGCAATCTCTTATATTGAAATGGCAATTCAGAAGAGATCAGTAGTATTCTTCTTTCTCACACCTTCCTGAAGTTCAAATACCCGACAACAGATGGCGCCACTACACTTAATTTCCAAGTTCAAATACTCGACAACAGGTGTCGCCACTATACTTAATTTCCAAGTTGAAGGCTTAAGCGCTCGGATAGCGGAGGATGCGGGTTCGAATCCCGTCTGCTGCCTGGTCCGCGTGGATTTTTTTCTAGTAAAATTTTATTTACATTTAAACATCTTTTATCATCATCAGTCAAATGCTTAAAAAAATATAATTGTTTTATTTGTTTACCTATAATCTCAATATGATGTTGAATAGAGTATATTTAATAATAATAATCTTACTAACAGCCACACAGGAGAGCAACGAGGAACTAATGAAGGAATTACGAGGCAAAGCGGAATTCTTCCAAGGGTACATAATGGAGCGATACAACAAGCTTCGAGAACAACGCACCGTCGCCACCAACACTTCGCCCCCTCTCAGCCGCACGCATTCGCCGTCTCGCTCGCACACTTCGACACCCAATTCCCCAACTAAGTCCACCCATGATGATGAAATGGATCAGTTGGTGCAGGACTGCGACGACGCTTTAGCCGCTAAGGTATTTGAAAACGTTGGACTGTATTACTGGATGAAACTAATAATTTCCCCAACTGACACCAATTTGCCTAGCCCCAAATTAAGCTCTGTAAGACTTGTGTTAGGGGGAGGTGCTTTGGATACCTCCGGGTCAAAAAAAAGGGTGCTTTGGATGTTTTGCTTCATAAAACAACTTACTCAAATAAATATGCGATTAAAGGCTACTTTACAAAACAGCCTTAAATAAAACCTTTTTTTCAACTTCCTCTGAGAAAAAAGTTAAACAAACCATCAATAAATATTTACAATACGCCTAGCCCTAAATTAAGTCAAAGGTTTTTAATGCTTAAGATATCACAATTAAAAAGCAAATACATTAAAAAGACCTAAAACTGTAGCTATTCCCAAACTATAAAAGCATTATAACACTATTGAATGGAAATGTAATGATAAAGCAAATAAATTTACATTGAAATGTGAAATTTTGAATTCAGTCTGGTTATTCCGGCCATCTTTTTGCTATTAATAAAAAGTTTTACAAACATTGGTTTATGTGTTCACCTTTTGTCTCAGAGGAAGTTTACTAGAGTATAAATAACTCATATTTCTCTCCACAGACCGCTTTGATGATGAAAGAGAAAGCTATAAGGGAGCACATAGCAGAAAAATTCACTCTAGAAATGAAAACTATGGAAATGAACTGCGCACGAAGGATCAAAGAGATGGAGAACGAACACTTGAGCGCTTTGAGCAAACTCAAAGAACTACTAGAACGTAAAGCCCAAGAAGTGGAAACTCTAAAAACGTTCATTCTATCCGAAAGAGCGAAAGTGACGCAGATATTGGAGGCGAAAGAGAACGAAATATCTGTGCTGATCAAAGAGCATAATTCTCTGCAAGCGGACTTGCAAAAAGCTAGTGACAACATCGCCGAATGGCGGTTGAAATCTGAAAGGTATAAGGAGAGAATATCCCGGCTGAATTCTTTGGAAGACGTTATCAAACACGAAAGAGAGGTCAATAATAGTTGTGCCAAAGAATGTCAAGCGATGAAAGGCAAAGTGGTGGAATTACAAGCTAAATGTACGCAGTTGGAACGCAAATATGAGAAGCTGCAGTCGGAACATGGCAACTTGCAGGACAAGTATAGGAGTGTTAAGAAAACGGTGATCACTTACAAGGTGAGTTATTGTTGTACATAATACTAGCTGACCTAGCGAACTTCGTACCGCCATAAAAAAATAGGGGTTAGTGGTAGAAGGGTGAAAATTTTTTGTTGTATGATGTATCATAAAAAAATAAAAACAAAAAATATTGTAAAAAAAAAATTTAAGGTTGGACCACCCTTAACACCTAGGGGGATGAAAAATAGACGTTGTCCTATTCTCAGACCTACTGAATCTAATATATAAAATTTTCGTGTCGCGGTGTTTGTGGTTAAACTCCTCCGAAACGGCTTTCCTGATTCTCATGAAATTTTGTGTGCATATATATATATTGGGTAGGTCTGAGAATCGGACAACATGTATTTTTCATCCCCCTAAATGTTAAGGGTAATCCACCCCTAATTTTTTTTTTTCAATTTTAGATATTTTTTTTTAATTTTTTTATGATACATCATACAAAAATACATACATCATACAAAAAATCCACGAAAAAGGTAATAGTTTTCTTAACTATTGTCACGTAACCCAAAACGCTTGGGATTGGCGGAGCCTAAAATGACGTCACACGCAAGTAAACTTCCGGTTAAAGTGACATTACATTGTATCGTTTGACGTTTTAATAACAGTCGTGTGACGTCACACACTAGTGAGACGCCATATTGTCCAGAGAAAGGTTTTCGCGGCAACTTGAAAATGGAGTTTTTGATTTGGTTAGTTTTACTGAAATACACAGCAGAATGATGAATATCCACTTTTTACGGACTTCATAAATATTAGTCGATATCGTGAGATCGTTTTCTAAAACTTGTCAAATACCCTATTGGTTGGTGCGCCCGCCCAAATCGCGGAAGGTAGTAAAAGTTTTTGTAGTAAAAGTTTTCTTTAGTTTTAAAGAATTTATTCTCATAAAAACACTAAGTTCATTTACAATGGGAATACTTACTAACTATTATATGAGTAGCGCAGCACAAACACGAACTAAAAACATTTAACATGTGTAAGGAGCTTCATAATTGTAATTTTAAAACTATAGTGGAAACCGGATATAATGACATAAAGGGACCATATAACTTAGAACGTTATGTCCGGTAGTTGTTGTGAGCAATATACAAAAATAATCATATTATTGAAATATGTATGTATGTAGTATGGTTATAGATAATAAATATATGCTTGTTTTCGTATAAAATATCGAAAAAAGGAGTAATAAGTTTACTATGAAAAAATGGAATTACCTACAGTATATTTTGTTTTGGTGGAACAAGTAAAATGGTTAGTCGTTATAACCGATGAATATCAATATGAATTTTATCAATGGCTATAAGTCGTTTTAAGTGGTATTTCGCTATATCCGGTGTTGTTATAGGCGTTTTTTTTACTTAAGGGTTTATATAGGGTTTCGGTCGGGCCTTGCCAATTGGTCGTAATAACCGACAAGTTGTTATAAACGATGTCGTTATATTCGGTTTTGATTGTAATTGCACTTGCATTAATTATACTTTTACAAATGCACAAATCACACATACATTTTAGCGCGTCCGTGGGTAGGAAGAAAAAAATTTAATGCAGAAGAGCCCATAGATTTATATGGATTTAAATTTATACATACTTACCTACATTAATTTAATACCAGGACTACATGACAAAGAAGGACGCGCACATTAGCAATGAGATGAACCGCATACAAGACGAGTACCGCAAGATATTCCTGAAACTTCAGAACCAGATCAACTACCACGTCAACTGCAGAATACAGGAGGAGAGGAACAACGGCAAACCTGTCGAAGCTGTGCAGTATCAACAGGGAGATGTGAGCTTTATTTTCTTATGTTATAGAGTCTATATTGGTTTTAATACTGTGAGATCAAGTATAGAATACAGGAGGAGAGGAATAACGGAAAAACCTGCCGAAGCTGTGCAGTATCAACAGGGTAATGTGAGCTTTATTTTCTTATGTAATAGTCTATATTGGCTTTAATACTGTGAGATCAACTATAGAATACAGGAGGAGAGGAACAACGGGAAAACCTGCCGAAGCTGTGCAGTATCAACAGGGAGATGTGAGCTTTATTTTCTTATATAATAGAGTCTATATTGGCTTTCATACTAGTAGATCAACTATAGAATACAGGAGGAGAGGAACAACGGGAAAACCTGCCGAAGCTGTGCAGTATTAACAGGGAGATGTGAGCTTTATTTTCAAAAGTAAAAGAGTCTTTCATCATCATCAACCTATTAATGTCCCCACTACTGGGGCACAGGCCTTCCCTAAGGATGGAATAGGGAGATTTGGTCCCACCACGCGGGTACAGTGCGGATTGGTAAGTGCTAAACGACTGCAGATACAGACGGGACTAACGGCTTAACGTGCCTTCCGAAGCACGGAGGAACACGAGATAGAAGAATTTTGGTCACCCATCCAATGAATGACCACTGCGAATATACACGTAGTATATAATATTAAATTCAATACAAACAACATTTAATGGCCAACGTCATTTGGCATAAGTTGGGTCTATGACGTCTCTAAGATATAAAAAGTATCGGATTTCGGTATGCAATAAGCCTGGTTCAAGTTGACTGATGTCAAGTTTACAAATAGCAAACACGAATAGTCAAGTGAACTGCCGGCATAAAATTGTGTAATTTGATAAATACGCCTTTGGTCTAAATAATATACCTTTTAATTTTTTATTTGAATCGATTCAAAAGCCAATTTCTACCAAACTACTTTCAGGATACGCGTTATTTCTGTAACACTTTTTATAAGAATGATGTCAATAATAAACTTCGACTCACTTACAATCTCTCAAAGGTTATACATACAGGGTGTTACAAAAATACAAATAAAGCTTGATGGGCGTTGAAGTACATCATATAAGGAGTGTTCTCTAATTTTCTTAAAATATTTGCAAGAAGTTTGAACTTTTTATAAAAACGGTTATTTTTAATGATTAATAAAAATATCGATCATTTTAAGACATGTCACTAGTTCGAGGTCATGCACCTTACCAGGAGTAGTAATAAATCTGCTGTAATAAAGATTCCTTATATGATGTACTTCAACGCCCTTCAAGATTTATTTGTAATTTTGTAACACACTGTATAAGGTGAAATATGATCCAGTTTTCTATTTTGTTTCCAGTATAGCGAAAGACTGAAGAAACTGAACGAAGACTTCGCACAGCTGGCTCAGTCGCGATTCAAGGAATCACCCGATAAATGAATAGCTATATTTATTACTTTATTCGACTACTCTCTCACTCTCACACAATGTCATCCAGGTAACTTCGACATTAGGTAAGAAAGAAGCTTTTTGTGTGTTAACAATATGAACAAGTTTCGCTTGCTCACATTAGGAAGGCAAGGAAAACAAAGCTAGCTGGTGTGGCAATGTGGAAATTGTAGCAATTTCCTGAGCTACATATAGAAATAGCAATTCCATGCAGCAAATTTGCTATGGAACTAGTTAGAATGATTATATAAAACTAGTTTTAACGGGTTGATGCACGAACTTTATTTATTGACGTTTCGTAGCCTTTTCAGGTCTGCATCGTCTGAATAATGTTAAAACTAGTTTTATTTAATGATTAATGTGCGTGAAAATCTAAGAAAAATTTGACGTATAAAAACAAGTAGACTCCTATTCAATAATAATCACTAGATATGTTCATAGCATCTCTTATCTATTAGACAAGTCCGTCCGTCCGTCTGTCTGTGGTGCTGTTTCAGCGGCCAAACCGTAAGAGATAGATAAAGAGAATATTTAAGTTATAAGTTAAGAATAGTCTGATAAGACTACAAACCGGATTTGAGTAACGTAGCACTTCCGGTTTTCGAGAAATCACGAATTTCAAACGAAACCACACAAAATCTCCGAAGTTCTCAATTAATTAAATACATTTTTTTTTTAAATCAGGTTTTGGTGAACATTTGGTTCACTGGTTTGCTAGTTTATTTAATAATTAAAGATGACATAAAAACAATGTGGTAACCATGGTAGCGACTCCTTCATCGTGTTTTCTATTCTATTTGAAAGGACATTAGTAAACAACAACACCCAATCGCGCTCAAAAAGTGTCGGAAGCAAACTTACGCAATTAAAACTTATGCGTCTATTGTGCGTAATTTTCAAACAGTCTTGTTTCGACCGCGTTTTTATTGCAACGCGACTCAAAGACAAAGTGTCGGCTTGAAACAGAGCAAATGACACCAGATCCACACTTAAAATAATAATAATAAAAACTTTATTGTTTCTCCACAATCTTATACATGCTTCCCAAGTAACAGATTATAAAACTTAAGACTAAGATTGTGAGAGACTGGTGACCAAACTAAGCTGACGCCTGTGTCTCAGTGCACCAGCCTCTCCCCACTATAAGAAAGTGTTACATAAGCAAAAAATAGGAGAACACTGAAAAAATCTTGTTTTAAAAACTTAAAAACATGGAACGCCTTATTACAAAACGTTGACTCAAGTTAAACCTGGACCAAAACCGAGGCTATCACTTTTGTTTGCTAAAAAAAAGACACAGACGACATTACATTGTTGGCATCACATAAAATACACATTTACCGTCTGTAGCTGTTTTTTGTTGTTGGTAATTTTACTTACGTACGGTACGTTTTGTTTTACTTTTTGTTATATGTATTTTTGACTTTATGTGTATGTTATGTGTTGTCAGCAATAAAAACATTTTTCTTTCTTTCTTTCATTAGGTTTAAGCCAAGACTAACTTTAGTCCGCATACTGAAAAGAGGCGGTAAGTGTCCAATTTCAGATAAATGAGACATTAACCTAACAACATTACGCAACTATCTTGGCGTTGGCTATCGTATTGCTAATTAATTATATTTTAACAGCTGTAACAAAATATCTTTTCCCGTGCGCGGCACGTATTCGTATCTTTCGCACCGTAATCAAAGTCTTTCTTTCTCTTTCGTATTCAATAGGGAATTTGACAATGTTTAGAAAATGATCTGACGACATTTTTAATTCTGTTGTGTAATACAGTAAAAAACCTTAACTAAGAATTCTATTTTCAAGTTGCCGCGAATACGTTTCTCTAGACATATGGTATGGGTGTATATATATTTAGTGATTTTCTAGAAAAGTTATTAATTATTTTCTTCTTTCGGAATTGTAAAATCGCTGCTAATATTCGTATTAAATACAGATGCCAACAATAGACTAGTTGACTCATGTCAAATTGCACTATACAAATGTTTATTTCTTATAATTTTTGGTATGAGGAACCTAAACTGTTATAAAGTGTTACTGTACTGACTAAAATATATCTAAAAACTCTTATATCTTGAAGAAAAGTTTCCGTTTATTGGTTTTCTTGGCTAAATTAATGCTGGACGCCGGATTTGTGAAAGCAGAAACGACAAAACTCCTTGACTTAGCAGGTACATTCATAACCTTAATAATTGAAACCACAACATTTCTGGAGTTTTTAACGATGTGTTTCTTTATTCTCGTATAATACAATCATGATAATAACTATATTTATCATGAAATCTATTAGAAATCATGGTTTTGTAATGTAAATTCAGATAGTTTACTATTGTTACCGTCATACCATAGATATAATCTATAGACTAAAATGGCCGAGAGCGTTTTTGTATGTCCATGAAAAATCTATTTTAAAATTAAAGTTTTGTAGCTTTCTAGGTAAAAAAAATTACAATAATTTTTTTTTGATCTAATTGATCAATTATTAACCATTTAAAACATATTTCCAAAAAGTGTCAACTAGCCTATTGTTACATTATTTTTCATACTGTCAAATAGCCTATTGACATTGAATCTTACTGCCACGACATAAGGTGTTAATTTGAACAAAAGTGTTAATGTTATCAGTATATGTTTATGTATATGTATAACTCAGCGCCACTCGGACGTTTTTTGGTGCACTTTTATAAGCCGATTGGCAGTCTACTTGTTTATATATTTCAATCCAATTTCATAATTAAAATAACCCCATTAAAAGACCTAAGTTACTAGGAATCTCCGTCCAAATGTATGGACAATAACTGTATTATCAGTAGGAAGAAGCTTATAAGAATAAGTGTTTATGACCGGCCGCACTCAGAGACGTCAATTAAATGTAATGCTTGTCAATGGAAGCCATGTCTTAATCAAACTTTAAAATTAATAGAAGACTGGGTGCGTGTTAAACTATTATAGCTGTTTCCACTTAGCATGGTTGATGAATACTAAGATATTTTGTGTGTGTCATTAAATAAATATAACATTATTTCTTACTACACTTTAGACGTGACTCGGTTAGCGTGGATTTTAGAATCCCTTTAATAGCGATGAAAATTCCAGAAAATGCCTTTTTGTGAATTCCAAAGCTAGCAAATTTCGCGACCGCCATAAAAAACCAGCAACAATGAAACGCATATTGTAATGTGCCAGGATTTGTCCTCTATTCCTTATTGAAAAGTCGGTTTTCCCACATTGATTTAAAGAATACGTGACATTGTGAAAACTGATGTGTATCCTTACTTCCGTCTGTCTGTCTGTTACCTCTTCACAATGAAACCACTAAACCGATTTAGATGAAAAATATAGTTTGAATTCCGGAAAAGGACATAGGCTATTTTGTATCCTAGAAAGCCTTTTGAGCATGTGAAAGGAGGGAGAGGGGTAGAATTCTGTAAGGGAGACCAATTTTCCACCCGCAAATAATACATTAGTTTTGGAATATTTCCTTACAGATTTCAAAGATCAATTTGCTGTCTAATACAAATGTCACTAACCATGCTATGTGGAAAACACCTAGAAATGTGGTTACTTCCCTTATGATAAGTCAATGTGTACAATGAACAGCCCATTAATTACCATATTGTGTAAAAAAATCCCAATGGAATGTGTATTTCATATCAAGCATAATAAAGCTCAAAGTCAGTTGAAGACATTCGTCAGTTTTGGGTAACATGAACTGTACCCCTAGCACGAACCATTATCGAATTCGAATAGTTTGCGAGTGCGAAGACATTTTTGTATGGAAACTTGAACAGCAGTGTCACAAAGTATGTAACGAGAACTAAAAATCAGTACACATTTGACAATGACATTTCGGACTCGCAAACGTTACGAATTCGATATTGATTCGTGCTAGTGGTACTGTCGTTTATTGTATTTTCCTATCGTTCGAGAACTTCGATGCTCATATTGTCTCTTTCGGTTTACAAAGGTAGAAAGAGACAATTAAATTCGCTTCAACTTATATTGGAGACGAAATTTACAAGTGTACTTAATTATAAGTTTTTAATTCATATAATATTTGAATAAATAACTTTGAAAAACTGATGCAATTATAAAAATAAAGACTGTAAAGAAGCTCATAACTCTCTTTACAAAACGATCAATAAAGTTGAACTCCGTCTAAAATAAAAATAATACTGTCACCTCTGTTGGCTAAAGACAAGATAGAGACGGCACTATGTCCAAACCAAGTCCAATTTTAGCGTACGCTTTGTAATTGAGGTGGTGTTTAAAATCGCAACTGTCCCATATTTTATATCAGTACAGTGCGACTAGGATCTTGTTTCGCGTTTCCGAAGCAGAAACAAATTTCGTGAACCGATTTCCGTCTGCTGCCTGGTCCACGTGGATTTTTTTCTAGTACAATTTTCTTTAGATTTAAACAAATAGCAGTTAAATGCTTATATAATTAATGAAGTTATTAAGAAGCCTTTTATTTGTAGAGGAAGCTGTTAATCAGCCTTTTATACTTCCTGTTACTCTTACCAAGTTAGGGGCCATTCATAAAGTACGTCACACGTTAATAGGGAGAGGGGGAGGGGGGTCTTAAGTTTCGTGACGTCACATTTCAAAATCTAATACCTACTTTTGAACTATTATCAAAAATCTTTAAAATATGTAGATCTCTATCTATATGGGGTTTTATTTGTTATGTGACGTCACACTAGGAAGGTGTGACCAACTGTGACAAGGACGGGGGAGGGGTAAAAAAATCATGAAATTAGTGTGACGTACTTTATGAATGACCCCTTTTGTAAATTATTAGTGAAGAGATTTTACGTAGGTACAAAGTAATCCTTAATTCACCACTTATTCATCACCAGTAGCGCCCTCCTGTCAATGTCATGTAATTGCTACAAGATCTTAGTCACACAGTACCTATAGTATTTTAATTGATACTGACTGAAGTTATACTCTATGATCATTCCATAGATAAAAACCTTAAATGCAGCTGTGATAATGTGGTATACACCCCGGCAAACTTCTTGAGCAACGACCACAGACAAGCCTGAGCAGTAGCAATTTTACATACAAAAACGTGTACTGCGCAAGTGTGTTTGTCTGTGGTTTTGCCCAAGAAGTTTACACGATGTAAGTAGTGTTAATAAACAGTATTAATGAAAGTTCAAAACGTTGTATTTTACATTCCTTCTGGATTCCATTTTGAATGTTACTGCTCATTTAAATTTGCGACTATTCAATTTATGTAAATATGTAATTAAACGAATTTGTATTATTATTGCTCAAATTGAAGCTGTTGTTAGAATAAATTTAATTTGCTTTATTTAAGTGTCAAAATAATGTTTTGTTGGTTATTGGGATAAATGCCGGTAATTTATAAATTTTGATAGTATTGTACAAAAATTTATGGCTAAGGTTTGGTACGCGATTATATATATTTTAGAGTCTTAAATTGTCATACTGGCATCGATCCCAATGTTGATAGTACCTAACGATTGCGAAAGCTATTATGTTTGTCAAACAAATATAAAATAAATACTATTGTTATTTGTAAATATTGTTTTATTTCTTTGTATAGTATTTGGCTGGAACGAATGGCATTTTAGCAACAGTGCACTGCATGTCTTTGCCTCTGACGTTTACCAATAGTTGTGTGCCATTCTTCTTGAAAGCTTCGGACACATAGCCCATTGCCACGTTACCACCCAATGAGGGGCTCGGACAACCGCTCGTTACTCTTCCTATCTCTTCCGAGTTCACGCTTTTGAGTATAGCTTCTTTCCTAGCAGGAGCGCCGCTCTCCATTCTTATCCCGACTCTTCTCTTACTGACTCCTTCTTTTATCTGACGCAATATTACATCAGCCCCAGGGAAGCCGCCGTCGATTCTCCTCCTTTTAGATACCAACCAAGTCAAGTTCGCTTCGACGGGCGTGACGCTCTCATCAATATCGTTGCCGTAGAGACACAAGCCGGCTTCCAAACGAAGCGAGTCCCGAGCGCCCAAGCCTGCAAGTTTCACATCCTGGTTTTGCAGTAAAGCGTTTGTAACTACGTCTGCTTTCAGAGCCGGTATGGATATCTCCACGCCGTCTTCCCCAGTGTAACCGCACCTCGTGATCCTGCATTCAGCGCCGACTACGAAACCCTCCACGGATGTCATGAAAGTCAAGTCGTTCAACGGTATCTTTGTCAAAGTTTGAACAGCGGAAACTGCTTTCGGGCCCTGAACAGCTATAAGAGCTCTCTGGTTGACGTTCCAAAATTCTACTTCCACATCTTTACCTCGCTTACGGAACACTTCGGAAGTATCTCTCATGTGTTCTTTGTCCACATCCAATCTACCGGCGTTGGACACTATGTACAGAGTTTCCTCATTGACTTTAGTGACGATCAGGTCGTCTATAATTCCTCCTTTATCGTTTAGGAACACGGTAAGTGCACTTGAACCGTTGCTCATGCCTCTCAAGTCGACAGGCGTGATGGACTCGAACCAAGCGATGCAATCTTTACCCCTCACGTTTGTCTGCAGCATATGGGATACGTCGAATATGGATGCGCTGCTCCTTGTGAACAAATGCGACGCAGACACACTCATGTCGGAATATTGAACCGGAAGCAAAAATCCGGCGAAATCTACCAATTTACCACCATTTTTAACGTGCAGATCGTATAGAGGCGTTTTAACAGCAGCTTTAGCACTTTCACTGTAACGGCGCAGCACAAAACTCTTATTTGAAAAACTTAGATTGGAATTCAGAAACCTGGTCAAACTTTTCGAAGTCATTTTGAAACCTATTGTCTAGTGGCGCAGAATAGAGAGAACTGAATTACTTTGTCAGTACTTATCGCTTTCATGTATTGGGGGTCGCGGGTCATTCGCTACCGCACAGATAACTAATGATGTTGTATTGGAATCATTTGAGTATATGTAAATGTATAAATAGTCTGTCATCAGCTTATCCATTGATTTTGTTTACATTAATGTTTCTAACGACAGGATAATTAGAAGATAATTAATGAGCATTGTTTGCTTTTTCCTTTGTACCTACGGTCAAAGATGTTAACGTCGCTCAGAAGGCGGCAATCGTTTTATAAGTATTCTATAAAATTTTACTAGGATAATGTCAAGTCGAAGGACCGCGATCAGAGAGGGCATCAAAGAAAAGTTTTTCGTATTCTTTGATCTCGCAATAGTACTGAAAATATCTACTTTACTGGCCCTAGAACATTACGAGATATGTTTAACAGTAGTTACCTATAATAAAATGAAATGACCAAGAAACACATTTTTTTTTCAACACATTTGCCTGCCAGGTTTTTTTCAGATATGAAAAGTCTCATTAAAAAATGAGTCTGTTTATAGATGCGATAATAGGATGACTTGAGTGTTTTACCCAATACTTAATAAAATTATATTAAAAGCACTTGCATACACTATTCACTCATAGGAACAATTGAAATCACAAATAAATAAGATTATGTGATTGAAATTAAACAAAGTAGCTGGGTTACAAAGAAGTATTTGACAAAACTTTTCTGAAATCCCGAAAACAAAACACAATCGGCATATAATTGTATGGTAAGCGCGGGAAATTAAGTTTAAATTACGATAGCGTGCGTCTCTTGTTTCATATTCAGCCTAATATCATGAGCTATCGGATTAAATTAAAATATAAAAGTGTACTTTAATAGGTAATTAAAAATTTATTTTACGATACAGCTAGCAGTACAGTACTGCAGTTTCGTTTATAAATTGAGTCCTTATAAAACCATTTTTAAAGTCGTACGTAATTCGTTTATTTCGACATCATGAGTGTAGTTAAATGCATTTATCTATTTACAGTGGTTATATACATTGTTCGAAAGTTCAAAATTACGAGCCTTACAATGAAGCGTGCCGTATAAGGGTACGGCAAGAGTGCACTCAGATTCCATATGGCTATGGATGCCATAGTGGCAGCAGGCAACTCTGGCCGTACCCATATACAGTGTAGTTTAAGCAGGTTGCCTGCTGCCACTATGGCCACCCTGCTTTAACTACATTGTTTATTTCTCGCGCTTGTTTTCTGAGTCTGAATCTGAGTGCACTCTGGCCGTACCCTAACACTTTACCACACGCTCCCATACATGGCGCCGAGCGCATCCTTGTGGCTGTCATACAGCTGAGGTAGCTCGCTGTCAGACTCTCTGCAAGCAAGCAGTCTACGCGGTGTCAGTGAGCTGACTACTAGTAGACCATTTTCGCATTACAACCAAGCAATCCGCTGACAGCTAACCGTAGTTGAGAGCAGTCGCCTTGGTTTAGGGCGGTGTTGGATCAGTTGTATATGACCTTAAGCATTACTGTAAGCTGTATAGAATATTCTCTAGGAATGTTTATAGATAATAGTAATCGTAAACGTATGGAATTTATCTTTTAACTACAGTTTACTGTATGATCTAGTTTATGTCGATCGAGAGTTATTATTAGATTTATATTTCTTTTTCGCGGATGACAGAAAAAGGTTGTAGAAGATCATACTAGGGTTATGCTTGAAATACTCTGATAAGAAATATATACTACCAGAGGTAGGTCAAAGCGAATTTTCCGCTTGAATTGGAGCTCCCGTCTGGGAAAGTAACTTTCACCTAACAGCAGATCACAGTAAAATAACACTACCTTTTGGTAGTGTTGTTGCTGACGGTGAGCAAGGTTCCCAGGGCTCTACGGCGTAGGAGTACAGATTACTTAATAGTAACGTAGGCGACTTGGCCAGGGCAGGGAAAGGCGCGAGTGATATTTTGATATCCCAAACGTCTTATTAGGCTAACGGTGGCCCTTACCATCAGGCAGGCCACAATTTTAATAGGTTTTAAAAAATAGGGACCAATTCTGGCATGCTCCTCTAAACCTAAAATTAAAATTGACAACAGTGCATCCTTGTCGAGTTCTATACAGATTGAAAAGGAGAGAATTAAAGAAAATTTTACTAGAAAAAATTCCATGCGGTCTAGGCAGGTCAGTGTAGTAGCCCAGATAGCAAAGGGTGCAATTCTAGTATAATTTTCATTAGATTTTAACCTCTAGTAGTTAAATGCTTAAAAGAATAAGTATGGAAAGAATTGTTTTTAGTTTTGTTAAGAAAAGCATAACAGAATCGTTCCGTTGTTAACCTCGGCAGAACTATAAATATTAACATTGATCCCTATAGCCTCTTAATGTAGCCATTTGCACTACATTTAAGATGCCATTTTTGTGCATGCTAGCTATTATTTTCATGACAATTTCACAGTATAGGCCATTATTTGCTCTAAGCATTCCCTGATGAAAACCATTGATGGAAAATGAAAGATAATGTACTAACAAATAATATGTTATTTCTTCTATTAATTTAAAACTATTCACTAACATAATTTTTAACTAACTCAACATATTTATCATGATCAATCAATTCATCTTTTATTTTTTCAGAAATAGCAATACTAGATAGAATGATTGCAATAAAACCATCTGAGTCTGGCATTTTTCTGAGCAGTTCCGGATGTTTCACTAGCTCTTCATTAATTTCTATCAGTGTTCCTTTAACACCACTCGGAACTTCAAAACTAGTGCCATCACCATACTCTATCTTACATATTACAGAACTTGGTGACAACTGCTGACCACCTTTTTTGCCTTTTCCCTTAACAGCATTACTGAGTCTGTTGATATTATTGATGGAAAAATTAAGTTTGTACTCTCCTTCCTTTTTGAAAAAGTTATGACTTGGTGCAAGACTGAGAAGCATTACTCTGTTAGAGTGAATCAAAATCATGATATCATTGTTTTTAATACCACCATAGTCCAGAATATACTTTTTCGTGAAGTATCTCTCTGTAAAAGATTTTACTTTAGATAAATCTGGTATTGAGTCTAAGATTTTGAACTCGGTCATTGTGGCGGGATAAGATTGGTGCAGTTATAAATTAGCCTGCTCTTCTGTAGATCGTCGTATACGTGCTCTTATCTCCGAGTGCCGCTTGCGCGATTCTTCTAAATTAGCTTGTTGCCGTCGAATACGCTCTGCTTTCAGACACTTTCTCATGTCCCTGTCGTAATCATTGCAATATCCAACGAACTTGAGGAATGAATGCTGCAAGAATAAGGTTAGGGAGTTCATATAAATTTAGAGGTTATTTAGAGATAAGTTTAGATTCAAGTCCTAAAGATGTTATTAGTATTAATAAAGCTCAGACTTATGTAGGTCTGCAGAATGTTTATTAATAAATCTTAATGGAATTACATACAGGACTGTAGTAATACCTCTTTATGGCAATCAAGCAACTTTCTTATTAATATATTGCACTCGTCAGTGTGCAAATGTGGTGACAAATCAGTGTGCATTACTTACACACTATGAAATCGTAAGTAAGCAAAAATATTTCACTGCTTTTGCGGTTTATTTTTATATTCGCAGTTTTATTTTACAAAAGCGAACGCGAACCATAGAGTCAATATTTTTTTAGTTTTTTTTTAGATTCTATTTTTCTCTATTGAGAAAGGCAAAGGCAAAGCCATGCAGCCATCGTCTTATTTTTGTATTATTCTTCCTTTTTTTTACATTAGAATGTGGGTGTGACGCATTCTGATGCTTCTTGGAGTGTTTGGCACGAAATATATCGAGTTGGCTTTTTTGATAAGCTTCTTTGAGGTAGTCAATACTACAATAAAGTTCTCACGTCCACTTAACCGGAATAGCGTACATTTTAAAGATTCAACTAATTCTTCAGTTGTGCAGACGGTTGTAACACAAAATCACACCAATTTTATTTGACAATATCCACTATGAACAAATTTAAGAATAATTAAAATAAGACGCCAACCGCACTCGATGGAATCCCGCCAAAAACTCATATTTTTTTAGTTCTATTTACAGAATTAGGGTGCGGCCAGAGTGCACTCAGATTCAGAGTCAGATTCAGATTCTGAAAACAAGCGCGAGAAATAAACAGTGTAGTCTAAGCAGGTTGCCTGCTTTTTCTCGCGCTTTGTTTTCTGAGTCTAAATCTGAATCTGAATCAGGAGTGCAATCTGGCCGTACCCTTCGACTACACTGTTTATTTCTCGCGCTTGTTTTCGAAATCTGAATCTGAGTCTGAATCTGAGTGCACTCTGGCCGCACCCTTACAGAGTACATTATATTCTTCCCTATGAAAGGCAAAGGCAAAGCTATACAGCCATCTTCTAATTTTTGTATTAATCTTAATTTGTTGTTACATTAGAATGTGGGTGTTATGCATTCTAATGTTTCTTGGAGTGTTTGGCACAAAATACTTCGCGTCAACTTTCTCGATAAGCTTCTGTGAGGTAGTCAATACGAGTTAAAAAAAATGAAGTTTTTACGTCCACTCGACCGAAATAGCGGTTGTTTAAAAACAATCCACTAATTCTTCAGTTGCGCAAACGATAGTAACATAAAATCACATCAATTTTATTTCACAATATCCACTGAACGAATTCATTATTTATAAAATAAAGAATAATTCAAATACGACGCACTACCATTACTGTACTTGATGAAATCGCGCCAAAAACTCATTTTTTTAAATTGTGCTCAGTGCTACGTTCAATACCTACACTCTTAGTGCAACATTTTACCCTGTCCCCTTAGCATGAGCACCACAATTTACACTATATAGTAATTTGACAATTACGTGTAATAAAAACGCGTTATATATCATATCGTGGTGCTCATGCTAGGGGGGGCTAACGTTTCAATTTTGATATAAAAGGTATGAAGTAGCGTTTCTGGTATGTTTCCCTAAACTTTTACCTAAATTTAAAATTAGTCTCTCTTTTTCATTCTGTATAGAGAATGACAAGGATACACCGTTGATAAATTGAAGTTAAGGTTTAGAGAATCATGTCAGAATCGATACCAATGTCAATTTCGACATTTTGTTGCACCTAGAGCGCAGTTTTTGAACGTACGTAGTACAGTTCACCGTTTTGGGTAGGCAAAGGTCAAGCCATACATCCTTGTCATTTCAAATTCAAAAACAGATTCAATCAAATCACATTCCATTTTATTGTTTCTTGAAAACACCTTGGAACACCGTGCATGTATAATTTTTTGACGTCATAAATTCCTAAAAATTGATGAACACACGATGACGTCATGTCACAAGTTACGTTAAGTGATCATCAAAGTTCCGTGGTGCGTAAGGTGAAAGCGAGGGGTTCCTTTGAGGCCGCTCCACCCATGGAGCAAATCACCCCATGACCTACTGTGTCTAAATTTTTGAAAACAATATGGAATGTACTTCTTTGCTTGTAGATTACAGTAAAATCTATAGGACGTTGTGTACGGAACCCTTCGGGTGCGGGTCCAACTGGCACTCTGCCGAGTTTTTATACACTATACAACAGACATTGTAAAGTCCTTGGAACCTATCCGATCAAAGAGTGCCTGTACTACTTACATTCGGTAAAGTTGGAAACTAAGATAGTTATTAATTAATTTTTTAAGCGCTTTCTTTATTTTTGTTCCGCTCCCAGTCAGGGCCGAATTTAACGGATTTAAGGCAGGACAGGCGGGGCTGTGGCCCCTAGAATGGAGATAAAAAAAGTTTTGACGGTCCCTAGCTATAAATAAACGTTACATTGAGCAAACAGTTATTACCTAAAAAGTTTTGAAGCTGATTTACTAAACATGTTTTCGGGTGATTTTAGAATTATTGCTCAACCATAAACACATATTTTTGCTATAGACCGTTGAAACTTATAACACTGTGGCCCGTATTACAGAATGATTCTCAGTAATGAATCTAATCTTGAGCATAGATAGAAAGGGATGTCGCTATATATAGCACATAGCGACATCCCTTTCTAAGTGTACTTAAAGATCAACATTTAGTTGTCATTCCTTAATACGGACCTTAGTGGGCCAATAGATGTGTCCGGCCTCCACTCCTTCGTTGCCCCAGGGCCCCCACTTCACCTCTGAATCCGGTCCTGCTCCCAGTCCAGTCTAAGAGATATTACAAACTCAGATCAAATAAAAAGTATTTGATATGATAATACAGAAAACCGAAACGGCCAGTCTTTTATGAGCTAGAATTTATTAGTTTTCATTTGAGGAGCGTCTGTTCAAAGGGGGCTATTTCCGCATTTACTGACTCATAGTGTTTTTTCGTGAATTCTACTGATATTCTAAGATCCTATAATAGCCTGTGTTAAATCTTGATCGAAATTGATTATTTCCCCTTTAAAATTAAACTTAAAATCGCGGTTCTATTCAAACGGTGCTCATTTAAAAGTTTTTGTTCGACAAATAATATTTTTTAACAATTTTTTTTTTAATTGGAAGCTGGAGGAACATTTATGTCAAATATATAAAACAACTTGGCATTGATTAATCGTCATTACTTTATAAGATAAAAAAAACATGCATTATGGTAAACTCTATCAAATTTGCATGTTTTTTATGTTAAAAAGTAATGACAAGTAGTCAATGCCAAGTTATATTTTATATTTTGGCATAAATGTAGCTTCCAATTTAAAAAAAATCTTCAAAAAGTTTATTTGTTGATGTATTTATTATCATTTCTGATCAAACTGTTGACGACCTCCGTGGCCGAGTGGTTTATACGCCGGGTTTCATGGTGTCTCCGACTCGAGAGGTCCTGGGTTCGAATCCCGGTGGGGGCAGATGTTTGTGTGATGAATACGAGCATTTGTACTCCAGTCATGGATTAATACGTATTTCTAAATAAATATACTTATGTATGTACAGTTTATGTATTCTTTCCGTTACCCTAGCATCCCATAAAACAAGCTTTACAGTGCTTACTTTGGGGCTAGGCTAATAGGTGTGTTAAAAAAAAAAGATGCTATTTTCCGAATATCCGACCAAAAAGTGCTATTTCCATTTTTAATTACTTAATTTTGTGCTGTTTAATAATTAATCCTAAAAATAAGTGGCCTCCTCATGAATTACCTAAATAAAAAAAATACACTTCACATACATCATCAAATCAGCATACGTTTTTTTTAATTTTATCAACATTTACTTAGCATGGAAATAGCCGCTTTCGAACAGATGGTCCTCATTTATTATTTTTTTAAGCATTTAACTGCTAGTCTTTCAGATCTAAAAAAAATCTTTCTTGAAAAAAAATCCACGCGGTCTAGGCTGCAGGCGGGACTCGAACCCGCATCCTATCCAGGCGGATGCACTAAGCAATTATGCTACTGCGCCCTTAACTACGTGTCTCACTAACGACACGGCTACGTGTTAAGACCGAAGAGGTGTGGATGCGGGTTCGAGTCCCGTCTGCTGCGTGGACCGGGTGGATTTTTTTTTCTAGTTTTTCTTTAGTTTTCATTTATCTTTAATCGGCTTTTTTGTAGCAGTTATGAGATGGTGAGTGCATTCGCCCGGATAACAAAGGGTGCGAGTTCGAGTCCCGTCTGCTGCCTGAACCGCGTGGAATTTTTTCTAGTAATTAATCTTTAGATTTAAACATCGAGCAGTTACATGCTTAAAAAATATAAATTATTTCTAACTTCTTGTTTATTTTTGCCTGCTTCAAATTGCTTAATGTCATATTTAATAAAATCAGTTAAGCAATAATTAATACTAATAGTCACTCGTTCAATTAAAAATTACATTTATAAATTGCTTCAGTGAACTTTTCGATGAGAAACTCTTTTTATCTTCCCACTTGTGACATTTTTAAACGCTTATGAAACTTCTTGGTAAGTAGCCAAATTGGTTATAAGAATAACGTTACCACCATTACATACATACATACATACCTATTATTTTTATTAATAAAATTTCTCTTGTAATAAGTAGGTTACTAGGTTCGTTAATCTTGAAATAAAAAACACAATAATTTTGTATTTTTTTTATTTACTTAAATAGTTCAGTTTATTACATTATGTAACTAACAAAGAAGTAAGGCAAAGATCGTTAAATGTGTGGGGTAATAACCCTACTATTGTTATAGGAACTCCTCAACTTCAAATAAATTAAATAAATTAAAAAGTACCTAATAAAAATTTCACTAACAAACTTTTAAATATAATGACTAGATTAAATTAATCGTTTCATATATTTTTTTTTTCACTGAGAATCGTACAAAAAAGATTGTGTTAATAAAAGTAAAATTGGAAGATGTCTTGCTTTTTAACTTATACCATGTATCACAACTAATATACTCATTCATTTCGCGTCGCTCACAGGAAAACAGGAACAAGCAAAATATTAAGCAAAACAATAATAAATAAATAACAATTAAAGAAATGCGATGAAACAACAACAAGAACGAAAAAAAATAAAAGAAATTATTTCCATGCCCGATTTGATAAGAAATGCATTATTAATGTGCCCAAAAGGATGTTGTCCTAATATTTTTTTGTTTTATTTTGTGTTTTTTTTAAAGCGTGGGTTATTTAAATTAAGAGGTTGCGAGGGATTCGTTCGTTCGCGGGGGTATCAACTCTTGGGCATGCCTTGCGGGGTTGAGGTTTCCACCATCTTCTTGTACTTTCCGACCAACTCGGGCAGATCGTATGCGATGGCGACGTCGAGCTTAGTGATCGGACAACCTCGGAAGTAGGTGCAGGTGGCTTGCAGCTGTTGGAACTCGTACAGCGGGTTGAGACGGAAGAAATCGCGATATGTCTCCGGGTCGGGCAAATCGTATCTGAAAAAAGCAACGTAATAAAATATACTAGGCATATATTTTTGAAGGAACATTTAATTTTGTAGACAATAATCTTTTTTTAATAATCATTTATTGTCTACAAAAATATCTTTATTTTTACGGAACGAGTCATAACGAAACCATGCTCTTCAATCGGAAGGCTAATCGGAATAAATAATACTCCACCTTGCAGTACACTGAAGGTGGTGTATTCCTGCAGTGAAATACCCCACTAGAAAATCAATATAATTTAATTGTTTTAGTAAACGTTTTATTTACACTTTAAGTTGGTTATATATAGATGAGCGACAGTGAAGGTTATTTATAACATTGGCCTCAATTATACCTTATAAGGCTACCATATTATATTTATATTGACAGAATCTTAAAAGCTTAGCTTACATTACAAAGAACCTTACCCAGTGACGAGCATAGAAACAACGTAAAGTAAGTCTGTAACACGTTCACTGTGATCATTCAATAATGAAGCAGATAGCTTTATACAAATTGAAATATTTTATTCCAGTATTTTTTTTAGCTTTATAAATCATACAGTTTCATGCTTCAAATAAAAATAAACCAAACTTCTTTCTTTACTCTAAGCCTGATTTTTTTCGATTGTTGCCTTAACTCTTTGCCTACGTGGTTATGAAAATGAAAAAATAAATGAAATACACAGCGACCGATCTCGGTGTTCTTACCTCGAGATATTGGTGAGAGTGCTTAGACCTTCGTAGATGTGGTAGTTCTGTGGGTTCTCAATGATGGCGTCCGCGATCAGTTTCCTGTTACCGAATATGGTCTTGTGGTTGTAGTAAGTGGTCAGGTAGCAGTCAACCATCTTGGCGTGATTTCTGACTCGCACCTGGGGATAAATTTAACAATAATAATTTAAAACCTACATCAACGGTTAACTAATCGAATACATTAATATAATAATTAATTATAAAAAGTAATAGGTAGTGAGTGGAGTGCATTCTTTATGGTGTATCGTGGTGATAAAGAATGCACTCCACTCACTACTAATTACTTTATTTCCTCCTCCTGTTCTCGATGCGTTCATCTAACGCATGACGGAGGTCGCGCAGTAAATCTGCCTCTTTGACCGCCAGCAGTGGTTACGGTGCGAACTAGCGACTTTTGTAGACACTCACAATCTAGTGACAAATAGGACACTCCCACCATAGTGACACCTAGGAACCCTTCCATCCTAGCGACACCTAGAGACACACCCTTGTGACACTTGCCCCTCTAGCATGACATCATAGCATGATATCATATCCCGTTTCGGTGGTCATGCTAGAGGGGCTGGAGACCTAGGGACTCACCACGAACCACCTCGCGGTGGCGATCCCGTTCTCGATGCGTCTATCGAACGCATGACGCAGATCACGCAGTAACTCTACCTCTTGGGCCGCCAGCAGTCGTTGTGGCGCGATCTAACGACTCTTGAAGACACTCACACTCTAGTGAAAAATAGAGACACAAACATCCTAATGACACCTGGCGATACTCACACCCTTGTGACACCTGCGGACACTTTCCGCCAACCTCCTGCCTCTTGAGGTGCCAGCAGTCGTTGCGGTGCGATCTAACGACACTTCAAGACATTGACACTCTAGTGACATATGGAGACACTCACACCCTAGTGACACCTGGAGATACGCACACCCTAGTGACACCTATAGACACTCATACTCTAATGACAATAAGACACTCACCGCGAACCTCCTCGCGCTGGCGATCCTGTTCTCGATACGTCTATCTAGCGCGTGTCGCAGGTCGCGCAGTAACTCTGCCTCCTGTGCGGCCAGCAGTCGTTGCGGCGCGCCCGGCTCGTAGGGCATCGACCACAGCGATACGGTGTACATGACGGGGGGCTGCGCGGAGCTCATCAGCGGCGATATGTTCCAGATCAGCGCGCTCTGTACGCGCATCAGCTCCTCAGGCTTCACAGTGTCCGCTTTGTTGAGCACAATACGAGTCTGGAGATTAAATTGGGTGTTAATGTTACTGTTAAATATTTCTGAAAAAAATGCCGGAATGATGGCAGAAATAGACTTTTTTTGTCGTGTTGTGTCATGATGCGTCAGAGAGGTATCGATTCATACATTTAGTACGGTTAGAACTATACTTATGTTTCGCGATGTGTCGACAGTGTACTCTACTAAATGTATGAAACCGATAGCTCTCTGACGCGTCACAACGCAACACGACAGATAGAAATATATTTAAGATAAGATATTTTGACCGAGAAAGTCAAACAACTTGTCCACCTTATGCCGAGAACGTAGTCTGGCATACTTCGGCCACTTGAAGCGCAGAGATTGTGGTTTTATTGCTAAGACACGAGGGAACCGATCCAGGAAAGAGAGAGATTCTTAATTGTATAAGAGGTGAAAATAATCTTGATTTGAGTTGAGGAAAAAAATAAGGACAATAAAAGGGCTTTTAATACCCTTTTATTGTTCTCATTTTATCCTACATCTTGTTATGACACCTTTTATCTAAATAATAAATAGTCCAGGTCCTTTATGGAGTTCTATCCGGATCCGCCTGAGACGAGAGTTTTTTAAGCATTTGTCTTTTTAATATTCCCTTAATTTATGGAAAATTCGGTACTAGAGCGATTCTGTAAAACCTCACTTCCCATTTCGGTATCTGCCATTTTAGACATTAGTTTGATATGCATTACGCCATTACACGGCAAAATGCCGCTATGTCTGTAGAAGCAGCCAGTATTAGATATTTGTTTTTTTTCAGAAATACGAATAAATGAGATCGTAAGTGCGATTTTATCTTACAAAATACCTATGCAGATCGAAAAAATGAATCTTAACATATAACATTTGATAAAGTTAAAAAGAACACAAATCTTTGTACGTTTTTAACAGTTTAGCGATTTATCGACCAATCATAAAGGGATGATGACTACAGAACATTTTTTTCTTCGTCTATTAAGTAGATAATCAAAAAGTATTGTACACGTATTTTACCTTTATACACACGGTAAAAAAGGATTTCTTTAAAGAAAAACCAATTCCTCAAAAACATTTCATTGAGAGCCCTCTCAATTTTTTGTAAAAAATCGTAATTTTTGAGCGCCTCGCTTACCCCCTTAGAAAAGATTTTGACTATTTCCAATATAAGTAAACAGTAGATTTATTCTTCCTCTTGTAAGGTTATGTAGAATATTTGCAAATACTATTTTCCTTTTTTGTACTGATCGTTCTACTGCAGCTAGTTTACGGAAAAAACGATAATATGCACAACTTCAAACGCCTGAATCTCTAAATAATGTTCAATAAATTAGATCAAATTAATTACTACGACATCAGAAATATGTTTTTGTTGTAACGTTGAATAATGTATTAGAATTTTGATTTTCTATCTCATTAATTATCAAAAAAGACATCTAACCTCCGTGAGTTATCCCAAAAAATAATGCAGGTTTACCTCGTATTTTGATTGAATTAAATAGAATTACTATCAAAAACTTTCATAAACTACCCTACCATCATTGAACTACTGAAATATGTATATATTTTTATAATTTGTTCATTAATAATTATTTTATAGACTCGAAACATCACCCGTAAAATGCAATATTACTAGTGCAAATCTACCTACGCGCCGATCAGTACGACACCGGCGCAATTTTGTAAATATATTTACTTGGTCTTATGCAATACATATTTGTAAAACAACAATACTGCTCTTTTTTGTCTCAGCGTTTTATGTGATATGTATTTATTAAAAATATCTACTTTTATCGTGCACTTAATCAAAACATTACAGATAAATAGATTTGAAATGTCGCATGACGTCACAACAAAGTACATTTTTATTTAGAAGTTACATCACGAGCCCCACTCCCAAACATTGACACTCTTTAACTTTGTAATTATTTGGTTGATTGACAAAATAAAAATTATGAGTGTCAGTTTTCAATAAATGTAATTGACGGACTAACTATAATTTTTGTTGACTTCACCATGACATCATCCGTATTTTTACAATTTGCAATTTTCATATTGCTTTAAGGCCTTTCTAGAAATTCTACTGGCACCTGTGATTCTCTGCCCTTGAGCTGGTCAAGGATTGCTTCTGTCTCAGGTCCGACGTCGAGCTTGGAGGGGTCATAGACCAGGAATATGATGTCAGCCCGGTCGATGAACCACTGGCACGCGTCGTTGAAGGGGAACACGCGGGACACCTGTTTCCTCACTTCGAGGATGCCAGGGATTTCCACTATGTTCACCTGGAAAATTCAATGGTCGAAATTTAACAATAAAATTCACAAAACACTTATTAAAACAACTTTTAAAACTTTTATTATACATCACAAATATGTTAATATAATTTTGTGATGTTTTGAATGGGTTTATGGGTCCTCTGTCACATGACTAAAGATGACAGGACCCATAAACCCATTGTCTACTTTACTTTACAGTGCAAACAACATTTTTTTCGCAAACTTTTTTAATGAATAAGTCCTGTTTTATATTCCTGATCTATTTTATTGCACATAGATATCGTGACGGCAATGCCACAGGTGATCGCTGATTTTGAGGTTATACCTTGCTCATAATTATCTATGGGTATTATAAACTAGAGGAATAGAGGAGGTCGATGGCGCGGGTGGCTAGCGCGTTCGGCTGCGAACATTAAAGTTAAGCAACTTTCGTAATTGTCGGTCATTGGATGGGTGACCAAAAATCTTCTATCTCGAGTTCCTCCATACTTCGGAAGGCACGTTTAGCCGTTGGTCTCGGCTGCATCTGCAGCACCCGACAATCCGCACTGGGCCCGCGTGGTGGGTCATGGCCCAATCTCCCTATTCCATTAATAGGGAAGGTCTGTGCCCCAGGAGAGTGGAAATTAATAGGCTGATGATGGTTATAAAATATACTTAAATATAGGATTATGTGTATGTAGACAGTTAGATGCTATTTATAACCAGACCGCCTTACGTTATCTGACTAAGGGGCACTTGCAAGAACATTTTTCAAGGATGTAGCTGTCTTAAAAAAGATACAAGAAAATTCTTCTCAATAAAGGACTGCTGAAAATACTGACAACTCTTTCTGTAAGCGGTGCGACATCAGAGAGCAAATATTTACTAATTCTAGGTGGGTGTAAATCGTAAGATTGGTGAACCTCTCCAATTTTCAAGTTGCGACCGCGCCTGGTTGCTAATTATAATCCGAGGACTTAAAATCAATTCGTAAACGTTTATAAGCTGATGTGGTATCAAATGTTAGAATAAGATGATGATATTTTAGATGAACCCTTATACTCACTTTTTCTAAAATCTTGCTGGGGTATTTCAGACCTCGGAGGCGCTCTTCCAGGCCTTGCCCGAACTTTTGCAATCCAGAAAACGTCCAGTCAGCAGCTAGCTGAGTGCCGTCCAGTACTTCAGGATCTTTGCCGTGCATCAGAATGTTGAAATACGCTGGTGATGGCTCAGCACCTAGAAACATGGAAACAAATGGTTCGTTTTATATAGATGTTCTTTGGACAAAAATTTAAATAACATGGAGTACGCCAGAACTATTCACGTTCTGCAATATGTACATAAGTAATATTTTCTATTCGGGCGTGTTAAGAATCAAATTTAAGGGCGATTCAAAGTCAACTGAAATAAAAAGTTAATTTTCATTTCACATTAACTTTTGATCAATATGTAATAGGCGGTTTATTTATTTCATTATTAATATTGTTCAGGCTTCCCTGTGGATGGAAGATAGGACTATGACCCATCCACACTGGCGGATTGGTTACAGATACAGCCGGGTTCAACAGCTTAACATGCTTTTCGAAGCACGGAGGAGCTGGAGATGATAAATTTTTAATCATCGTATCCGGCCGACCGGCCATTGTGAAAGTTTCTCAACTTTCACGATCGCAGATCGAAAGCTCTAGCCATTGCGTCATCAAGCAACTCAATTTAATTAGAGCAATTTATCCAACATGTCGTCGTTATGAATTAGCTACGGTACTGACAATTACACTGATGCTTATCATATTTGGTTCTGTTTCATATTTGAATCTCCTATAGAAATATTGGCACAAGATGTGTTTATAATTAAAGACTGTTATAGCTGTTTTGCCAGCTGGTGGACGTACTTGAAATCAGACCTCACCGTCCTAACTGACTATAATGCGTGAACAACGGATTTTCGCATCGAATTCCTCAAAGAGTGTAAATAAGATAGGCCAATAACACTTTTATATAAAGCTAGTACAAACTTTTAAAGGAATAGTGTAATGCAGATGTTTATTGTTCTCTAATATGATTACGCAGTGTACCGGTAGCTTGTAGTTCGCGCACTTTCGTCTTCGTATATTAACGTCGATACGATAATGAAATTACATAGATAATTTTATGATAGTAATATTAATTCTTTTTCGCTAGTTGTTCGTAGTGCTGGCCCCTACAGTGAGTTAAAAAGGAAGCTAGAACTAGTAGATATGACCCCTGTGACGGAGTATTTAGCAGCATCATAAGAGTCTAGAGCTACGGGCTAATTAATACCTACTGGACTGGTTAAAATCGGTAGCTACAGGTACACACGTTTAAATAAGCTTGTTTGACATAGAAAAAAACGAACAATACAGTACTTCATATCCCACCTTGCATTAATATCCCAAAACGTAATAGAGCAGTGCCAGAAAATACAACATTTTTGTAATATTTTTACAATACAAATAAATTTTGCGCTTATTGGTCAAATCAATCTGTTGCATACTTCGGCTCCTTTATACAAATCACTCCCACAGATTGCATGACAGCGAGAGAAAAGATGTTATACTTAAAAAATACATAATTAAATAAAATGATTTCACTTACCAGTTCTCAGAGACCATTCCGTGAATTCCAGTCCCGTCAAATAGTTCAAAATAGAAGATTTTCCTCCACTCCAAGGTCCCATGAATAGCACCAAGGGCTTTGAGAATATTTCTGGGTCACCGAAATGCCTGTTGCTCAAATCTCGGTATTTGTACATTCCTTCCAAGGGCTTGATAGAGTTTTCGTATAGTCTTTTCAACTCTCTGAGTACGATGTCAGCTGATCTCTCGATTATTTGTTCCGCTTCACTCTCATCTTCGTCGAGCCTGAGGATTTTGGTGATATGCTCACGGGATCTTAAGTTTTCAGGAATTTCTCCGGTCTGTGAAAATTATCGAATCATTTTTAGATAAATATATAAAAATATTTCAAGTGAATCATACACCTATCATAAATGTTTTTTGTAAGTGATCGTTTTTGTCAGTGACTTATTATTATCATCAAAGTTAACATGGTAAAAATTTACACATTACTTATTATTAGTCACACAATTTGTTCCCACTGGTATTGTTTTCATTGTGATAATATTGGTAGGGGAAAGCCGTTATTTTTGGATACGCTTTCCCCTTTTATTGAATAATTGATTGGCAATATTTTGTACCTCTTTGAAAATACTCAGCTGCTTAGATATATACCAATCAGTCTATGTTTGACAACAGGTGTCTGCATAGACGCTGTAGTATATTTTACAAGCTTAAATTGTTATTTAGTATTTTTATCCATTTTACCTACCATGTCAAAGACTAGGTAGGAATACCTATCGTGAAATACTCAGCTAACTCCTCTCGATTATGATAATTATGGCCCTAAAACTACTTTGTTTTACTAATTCGCTGTAGCACATTAAAGCATAGAGCAATACATTAAAATTACCTTCAATAAGTCTTCTTCTGGTGTTCCTTCTTCTTCAGAATCGTCGCCGTCGTTCTCCTTGCTATCTTTATCATCTTCTTCATCAGTGTTTTCTGAACTAGCCTCTTCAGCGGTTTCTTCTTCCGATTTACCATCATCATCTTCCTTGCCTTCTTCGGAACCATCATCATTTTCTTTGGATTTGCCGTCATCGTCTTCTTTACTATCTATTGATTTAGCAGCTTCTTCTTCGGATTCTCTGTCTTTGTCGTCAGATTGATCTTTTTTTTCTCCTGAATCTTTGTCGTCTTCCTGAGATTCATCTTTAGCTTCTTGAGATTCTTCTTTCGTTTCTTGCGAATCATCATCTTTATCACCGTCGGTTTTCTGATCATCAGCCTTTTCTTGAGATCCATCGTCACCTTCTTCTTTTGTCTTATCATCTGCGTCTTGATTTTCTACGGATGCTTCGGCAGTTTCATCAGATTTATCATCATCAGCCTTGTCTTGTTCAGCTTCTTTACTATCGTCGTCATCATCGTCTTTCTCACTTTCTTTTTCTTCTTTGCTGTTGTCATCATCATTATCTTTTGCTTCTGTGCTTTCGTTTGCCTCATCTTCTTTGGTGTCATCTTTGTCCTCGCCACTCTCTGTAATGTTATTATTTAGTCATCAGGATCATATAAGAAAGAAACAAAATAAGAAGAAAAAAAATCATCGCGCCGTATCTTGCAGATAAAATTAGTAATTGTATTGATCATGGAGTATTTCCAGATCTCATGAATTGTAGTAAAGTTATACCTCTTTTTAAATCTAGAAATAGAGATGACCCCGGTAATCACAGTCCTATATCAGTATTGCCGGTATTAAGTAAAATTATCGAAAAAATAATTTTAGATCAATGAATATCACATTTCAATTTGAATAAACTGTTACATACAAATTAATTTGGCTTTACTAAAGGTAGATCTACGACTGGTATTGCACTTATTAGGCATATATTTGAAGTTTGGAGTAGTCGCAGAATGTTGTTGGAGTATTTTGTGAGTTGTCCAAGGCTTTTGATTTCGTTGAGCATCGGACGCTGGTGATGAAGTTGAGTCACTATGGAGTCAAAGGCGCAGCCCAAAAATTGCTATTGCCGTATCTCAGTTCTAGATTTCAGACTGTCATCTGGATCTCATGTGAATGGGCGTTCTCCAGGGTTCCATTTTGGGTCCGTTCCTACTTTTACTCCATACTTATTATTATATTATTATGCTCTCTCACAAGTATTGCACTGGTTTCATGTAAATAATTTAAAACTTAATGCTAATAAAACTAAATCCATAAAAATCGCTTTACCAAATGCTAAAAACGAACCAGTTACAATTAAATTAAACAATGAAAAGCTTGATTTAGTTGAATCAACGTTATTCTTAGCTATAACTATTGACTCAAAATTGCAGTGGAATCCTCATATTTTATTTTTAGCTGATCAATTTAGTTCAGCGGCTTATGCCATACAAAAGATGAGGCAACTTTCTGATGTAGATACAGCTAGGGCCGTATACTTTAGTTACTTTGATGATGACGATAAAAGACCTTGAACCTTGTGAAGTACCATACCTGAGCCCATTAAATAGGGTTGAACGTCTAGGGCAGCAGGAGGAGGGTTCACGTACTATAAATATGTGCCTTTGTTAATCAACTAACAAAACACTGCGTTGTTAACAAAATTATTAATAGTTTTTGGGAAATGATGTATACTACACACAGCTGTAAACATATCATTTATGTATTAACCATTTCTTTAATTTAATTTTAAATTCCAATAAATTAAAATCTTTAATGTCATTGGGAAAATTGTTTAATATTTTAATTCCACTTATATAAGAGCTTTTGTCAAATATATATGTAGCTAGTCGATCATTATCGACATATAATACTGCATTCAGTATTCGTGTCATTCTATATTGGGCTCATATATTAGCTTAAGTAAGTTTTTTTTTACAAAAATATTTGTCATGTTTTTTTCTAACACATATTTCAAATATTTACAAGTCAATGTTAGGTTACCTATTTTATAAGTGCTGGTCTGACACTTTCAAGTGGGTCAATTTTATATATAATTCGCAAACACCTCTTTTGTAAAATAAATGTAGAATGAGCATTTACCGAATTACCCCAAAATATAATTTCGTATGTCAAAAGGGGGTATACATAGCCATAATATGCATTCCGAGCAACATCAATGGACGTTATATTAGTCAATACTGATACAATATAACATTAACCAGATAATCTATTATTTAATTTATTAATATGTGATTTCCAATTGAGATAGGGGTCAATATTAATGCCTAGAAAATTTGTCTTTGCTTGCTCAATTCTCTTATAATTGATAACTATGTCAATATCATGTACTTTCTTTTTGTAATTCCTAAATTGCATAATCTTTGTCTTTTCTAGATTCTCTTTAAGATTTAGGGTTGAAAACCATTTTATCACGTTATTAAGAGAATCACGTACATTTACATTCTTAAATCCTTTTACAATTTTTATTAATTCAACTGTATCTACTGGAGTCAAAAAAATGCTATTTAAATTAGATTGGGTACAATAAAATATTTGACATTTAAAAACCATTATCAAATATGTGTACCTAGTTCTGCTGCTACTTCTTCAGCGGATGCGTCCTCTTTGCTGTCTCCGTCTTGGTCGTTTTCTTTTTGTTCCACACTGTCGTTATCCTTTTCTTCGGCCGATCCATCCTCTTTTGAATCGTTATCATCGTCCGTTTGTTTCAGATCTTCAACTGATGCCTGAGATACGTAAGGTTCGTCTGCTACTTCTATAGATGGCGCATCGTCTTCTTTACTGTCTTTCCCATCACTTAAGTCTTCACCTGATTTTACTTCTCTCGAATCGTCATCTACGCTTACTTCACTACTGTCGTTTTTTTCCGTGGAATCTGTGAAAAAGTAAAATTCAACAGTGAGTTAAAAGTGAAAGGAGATGTGATATGCTTTTGAAGTTGACTTTAGTAATAAATAACTATGTGGACATAGTTATACTATAATGAATACTTTCTTGATCCTCTGGTACTTATGTCCAAGTTATATTTATTTTCTTTGCCCTAAGTAGTTTGTGAGTGTGTATTTGTTACTTCTTGACGTCTAAATGGCTGGAGCGGTTTTAGTAAAATTTGGTATGTAGTTAGCTGACACCCTGGATTAACACATAGGCTACGTTTTCTGCTATAAATAACTTATTTTAGAACTTTTTCATACTGGTTAGACTTTAAATGATTTTCTAAAACACTTTTATTGACATATACTATTTGGGTAAGAAACGCAGCAGCTGGAGTATCTTACTTTTTTTCTTATCCGCATGTTTTACTATGATTTAACAGTGTCTTAATACTTTATTCATCATTCATACGTGCGAGTCTATTATTGTTCGGGATGCGCGGTGACGCCGCTTCGCCGAACTTAAAATAGAATCAGCGTGGAATCGAAGGAACCCAGTTGTCAAACTTGCGTTATTCTAGTTGCGATGAGGTCAACGTTTACGAGCGGAGCGATTACATATTATTATAGTTAGCGGTCGTAAAGATTCTCTCTGTTTAACATTTCCGGCAAATTAAATACACGACTTTAATATAAATAATGTGCTATGACAAGTTATTTCGAACGGACCGTCCTTTTAACTACATTGTTTGATATGAACATTATGTATTTTGAAATTATAAACATACTGGCTGTGCCCCGCAGTGTTAGCTGTTTATTAGGAATATTTTCCCGCAATAAAACGTAGCTTTTGTGTTAATCCAGGGTGTTAGCTAACTCCATACGAAATTTTATTAAAATCGCTCCAGCCGTTTAGAAATGAAGAAGTAACAAACTTACACACTCACAAACTTTCACCTTTATAATAATAGTGTGACTAGCTGTGCCCGCAGTGTTACCCGTTGTTTATAAGGGATATTATCCCGCAGTAAAACGTAGCCCATGTGTTAATCCAGGGTGTCAGCTAACTCCATACCATATTAAGATCGCTCCAGCCGTTTAGACGTGAAGAAGTAACAAACATGCACACTCACAAACTTTCGCCTTTACAATATTAGTGTGATTTCTATTGAGTCGTCCTGGCTTCGGACGATTGTGAAGTTTATGAATTATGAAGCTGTATGTATTATGAAGCTTAGCTAGCTAGCCATACGATATTTTTATTACGTTCCGTACCCGAAAGGTCCATCCAGCCTGAGTCCTAATGGTTTCATTCGCGTTTCCGTCATTCGCTTAAAGTCTTCAAATATTCACAGTTTGACCCAAAGCCATACTTTGATAATAAGCAATTTTTATTATCAATTATTTTTAAAGGCGTATTTTTTGTATTGAAATATTTGAAAACACAATAAATGCGAATGCAGGTGCGTGGTGGTAAATAAAATTGTATTTGTAAATTAAGGTTTTTTTTGGCTAGCTTGGACGTGTTTGTGCACTTGTGAGTTGATGCAAAGTGTGTGTACGTGACTTAATCAAAAAGTGGTGATTAAGATGTCAACCACTTTGGACCAGAAGCTGTTAGGGATACTGCCAGGGGTGAAATATGTGCTAAAAATAAATGCATAGAAAGAGGAGAGCAATAACAGAGAAGTATTAAGATGAGGTAACAAGATAAGATGAAGTTATTGCTGACACTTTCAAAAAGACTGGTACGGTAAATGGTGAGTTTTTATTTTAGCGTGTTATGAAGGGGCTATGAGATGTGATAGCGGAATGAAAAGAGTTTAGTTACAAAAAATGTGTTCAATGAAACGGACTAGGGATTAAAGTGTATTTGTATGTCGAATGAGATCAGGAATATGGAATGGATTAGGTATTTTTTGGTAATCTAAAGGTTAGGTTAGGTTACTTATCAAATCAACGTGAGGATCAATTACCATTTTTGATGATCATTTAATAGTAGGGGATTTTGGGATTTACTCGAGCGCGGCAGAATAACATAGGGGAGTGGGGGAGCGGGGTTGGGGACCTTGCACCTTGTGAAATACTCCCACCATACCTGAGCCCATTAAATATGGTTGAACGTATAGGGCAGCAGAAACAACATTCAACTATTGGCCATGACTTTCGGTCGCGTCCAAATCGTCAGTCTTTTGAATAACAGCTGGGAGGAGGGTTCACGTACTATAAATATGTGCCTTTGTTAATCAACTAACAAAACACTGCGTTGCTAACAAAATTATTAATAGTTTTTGGGAAATGAAGTACACTACACACTCAGCTGTAAACATATCATGAAGGCTTGGCACGTATGTAGCTCAAAGTTAAATTAAATTTTTAACCATACCAGTTTAAGAATAGAACAAAGATTTTAGAATTAGAACTAGACTTAATAAATGTCTTAAAACGAATTGGTCCTGAGTAGACTACTATGTTTTCCTAAAATTGTATTGGATCTGTTATTATTAGCAGGGCTGGCAACTTACTGTAGATACACACAAAATATTAAAGCCGGAAACAATAAGCTACAGAACAGTAAAAAAGTATCTAATACTTTTGAAACAGCAAATTGTTTTATGTGCCTGAAATAACTTGTTATTGTTTTAAATAAAACATATTTTTAGTAGTTGTTGTGCCAGGAGTCAGGCTCGCATTGCGCAAGCTCCCCAGAGAAGATGTTCTTATACTCTGGGGCACCTCCATCAGGGGGGTGAAGGTCCATTCGCAAAAAATGACCGACGGGTATGTGGCCAGTCCTAACGAGGTGCCACAACTACGTCCACACTCTCGACACGAATTCAGGAGACCACAGTCCTCATAGTGCGTGTCGGGTGACCGGTGCAGGAATATTGACCTATATTGTCTGGAATTTACCGGATAGGACCCTGTCATTTCATACAGCTCGTGAGCTCGATGAAATGACAGAGTTCTCCTGTTCACCATTCTCCCAGGTGGATGAGGGTTGCGGTCACGTATTTTCCAAACATGAAAATAAAGTAGTTCTTAAAGGACATACATAAGGACAGACACCTAAAAGTGCACAACGAAAGTTCGTTTACGAATTAATTATTATTTATTTAAATATTTAACAGCTGAAATATATGCATCTTGACTGTGTTTATTATGTTGTGTTTCTGTTCATGAGTAAGGTTAAATAGGTGGGGGATTAGTTAAAGGCTGGCAAAATGAGGATAAACTATGGATGAAGCGGCACAATTTCTGCCGCTACAGAAGCGGCAGGAACTATATATTCTGAACTAAACTTATCATCAGGTAGGTTGGGCTAATTTGCTGCACCTGGTATAAAATAAAATTTCCTCTAAATGCCGAATACTGTTTTTAATAGAATGATGTGCAACCCTACTGATTAATACACTCAGTTCGATAATGGATGGTATGTTAATGGGAACTAAGCTTGTTTATTATGAAATCTGTAAATATAACAAACATACAGAACCAAATTACCTCTATCTCAATTTTGAAATGTACACAATAGGATGTAAACACAGAAAGGTTAATTTTAGGGTTGATTTTATACAACAACGTATTTTAAGATCTTTCTTCGTTATTGAATAGTAAATATTTGTTTAAAATGGTTATTTTCGCTGCTACATCAGGCTCAACCATTGAATGAAAGAAAAGTCGGGTTTTTAATAAGACTATTGTTATTCGAAATTAGGAACTATTGTTAGTCTACTCTGAAATTTGAAGCTGCTTACTATTGGGTGAATATATATCCCAAGAACATTTTTTGCATTTTTAAGCTGATAATGGTGTAAAGTGAATATTTTTCATTTCATTTTTTTTCTAGCTTGCTACTACTAAGTTGTAAGTTGGCTAAAAGATCAGATTTTTATAATTATTTATATTTATTTTACTAGAAAAGTTTCCATTTCGCACCGCCGGCGCCGCTGTTTAAAGTACCTATACGTGTTATTTGATGTTTAATAATATCGTTTATAGTTGATTTCATTAAACCATTAAGCAAGACGTTTTACGTACCCATTTAATCTGCAACAGTAAACGCGATAAATCAGTGTGAAATAATTGCTTTCCTTTTCTGTAGTCGCTGCCCGTTGTCGTGACAGTACAGGGACCTACTTCACCTTCGGAGATTGAGAGACAGCATTATACATTGTTCTGCTTGCACATACTCTTAAGAATAGCGACATTGGCTATGCCACGCACACCCCCGAAATTTACACCCAATCCTGATTTGCCGACTGCTTTAGCGGTGACAGTGTAGGTTAATAATTTAAAGAACCCGCGTGAATGAAAAAAACCTGATCAAGATGATATTTTGCAGCTGATGGATGAAAAACTTGAAAATGACTTTGCTGCGCTTCCTCATAAAATAGACCGATTTCGAATGCTATTACTACACACTACTCGGAATTCGATGGTGGTGAGCGAGTTTGCGTAAATTTTAACCTTCCCTGGATACCCTGACTGAAACGGTTGCGGTTGCATAATGATAGCTTTAAAAAATCCTTAATTTTAAAAGTTATATATATACATCGTCATCAAAGAAAACAGTTTGTGGTGTCCCACAGGGTAGTGTATTTGGATCATTATTTTTTAATGTATATATAAATGATTTTTATTAATGCATACAAAGTCCCATGATCATGTTTGCAGATGATAGTACTATAATATTTGAATTTCAAAATGAAAATGGTTATGAATTTTCAATAAATATAGACTGACAAAATTATGGATGCAAAATAATAAGTTACTTGGTAATTTGGACAAAACAAAATCGATTACGTTTAAATAAAGAGAAAGCAAGAAAATTATTGAAGTAAAAATAGAGCACTCGGGGAAAAAAGTAGAAGAAGTAAATACTACCAAATTTCCTGGAATTCACATTGATAATAATATGACATGGGAAACTCATTGTAATTATACTGTGAAAAGCTAAGTTTAGTTATGCCTTGTATATGCTTAATAAAATAGCTGACTGTTCTGCACTTATGATAGCTTATCATGGATACGTTGCGTCAATACTGAGATATGGCATATTTTTTTGGGGGAATTCTAGTAGTAGAGTTTTCAAAGGATATAAAAGATGTCTGAGAGCAATAAGTCGACTTCACGCTACAGACTCTTTTTATCCTTTTTTTTAGAGAATTTAATATTTAGTTTATATATATTTGAAGTTTTTGTCTTTGTTAAATTTAAAATTGTTATATAATATTTTTACATCTAAAAGACACAATGATAAGTTGTGTAAAATACCACATTAAACTGCTTTGTTTGGAAATAGTTTATATGGCGTTGCTCCGATAATTTATAACAAGCTTCCAAAAGATATAAGATAAATCGATAATGTTGTAAAATATAGTGACCCAAAAAAAAAGTTTTTAGCAAATAAAGCTAAATTATGCAATAAACGAATATATATGTGATGTTGAAATTTAAATTATTATTTATGTCCTTAACTTTATGAATAAGATTCAAATAATCTTTTATATTGTTTGACAATGATGATGAGAATTTGTTATAATTTTATATTATGCTCAATGCACGGAATAATTGTTATAAGTTTTTTTTTCTCAACATGACAATTAATTTGTACACCCCATTGGGTAAGAATATATGATGCTCTTTATCTCTGTATCACCATTTGTTACAATATCTCTGAAACCTTGCGTATGACTGGGTGCTAAGGCTCTTGCCCCGAACAACGGTTATTTGCTACGCAGATGACGCGCTGATCGCTGTTCGGGGCAAGACCTGCGAAGATATACGGCGGCTGGGGTCAGCGAGTGTCTTGCAAATAGTTCGGAGGATCGGTATGCTCCGCATAAAGTTGGTTGCGGAAAAGACGAGAGCTATAATGTTTTTTAGCTCCAAAGGCAAGCCACCGGCCGGAGCATACGTCAAGGTGGGCGAAGTAAGAGTGCCCATAGAGCCCACCCTGAAGTATATGGGTTGGTGCTGGACGCGAAGTGGCGAAGCCTCGAAGCCTATTTTAGGCAGCTGGCACCGAGGCTGATTAGTGCAGCGGCGGCGCGTCTTCTGTGTCTTCAGAGTGTTGATTTTAAGGCCTATGTTAGCCAGTTGCTTATGCTCCTAGGTCATCTAGTTTGACATAAATGTCGAAGAGGTGTGAGATGAGCTTTGGTGGACAAATTTCAGTTTTGGTGGCAGTGCAAAAGTATGGATGTAAATTAATCTATGATTATTGGTACGGTTTTCGGGGGAATAAGAAAATATGCAATTATATGCTCAAATTTATAGAATTTTTGTCTTGTTTGAAAAAATTGCGCTTCCAAATCTCAAAAAAAAAAATGCATATATGTTGATATTGGCCCTAATAATAGCCTATGAATCACAGGGTTATGATCTATCTTTTTTATCTTTATGCAGGCAAACGAGTTGGTAGTCCACCTGAAGGTAATTGGTAAGTGACCACTGCCACCTTTCCTTCCAAAAAATCGCGGAATTGGACTTCATTCGAAATATCGATTCCTAGAATTCCGTTTTTTGGAGAGATGTGAAGAATGTCTTGTAAATAAGGTGTTTCTATGAATAGGCACTTCTCCGCGGAGAATGCACACACTTGCGTCTTTTGATCTTGATCAGCTGCCCCACTCCACTGCTGGGGCACAGATCGTCCCTATAGATGTAATTAGGGGGCCGGGCCAATACCCAGCACGCAGGCCCAGTCTGACGAATAACGACTTAATCGAGGCAACTTCTTTAGCAATATCCACAGACAATAAAACTTGCGCAATAGACGTTTTTGTATGTAAAATTGCTACTGCGCAGGCTTCCTTGTCTATGGTCATTCATCAAGAAGTATGCCGAAATGTATACCTTAGCCGAAGTGTGTAGGAGCTTTAGATGATAAATTCTGATCACCTTTCGGCCGTTGTGAAAGCTGCTCAACTTCCTCGACCGCACACAGAACGCGCCAACTAAAACTACCTTAACTTTGCAGCTGGCCTGGCGTACTTAAGCGTAGCGTGGTGGGTTTTAGAACTTTTAGTTAGTTTAGCGTCAACTACACTCACCTTATTTTCCATATTTTGCAGTTTTGTTGTGTTTGTGTTTTATATAAAAACTAGCTGTCCCAGCGAACTTCGTACCGCCATAAAAAAATAGGGGTTGGTGGTAGAAGGGTGAAAATTTAGGGTTGTATGTATTTTTGTATGATGTATTGGATGTATCACAAAAAAATAAAAACAAAAAAAATTGCCAAAAAAAATAAAATTTAAGGGTACAAAGTTGTATGTATTTTTGTATGATGTATTGGATGTATCACAAAAAAATAAAAACAAAAAAAATTGCCAAAAAAAATAAAATTTAAGGGTAACCCTTAAAATTTCGGGGGATGAAAAATAGATGTTTTCCGATTCTCAGACCTACTGAATGTGCATATATTAAATTTCACGAAAAGTTTCGGAGTAGTTAAATTACGCACACCGTGATACGAGAATTTTATATATTAGATTCTAGCAGTCTCGCGTCGTGTGAACAGTTCAAATAGAATTATAAAAAACACAATGAAAGCGCGCAAGATACCCCTATGTATAGTTCGTGCCTAAGCGCTGAACAGATGTTGATGAATTTAGATAAAGATATACATTTGAAAACGATACACTTAGGCTAATTTTTAACCCCTGAAGTGGGGTGATAGTTTGGTGATAGCTATTCTTGTCATAGCAAGAAGTATAATAATATACACACCTGGTTCCACGTCTCCGGATTCGAGCTCTTTAAGAGCTTTTTCGATGTATGGACGGCATTGTGATTCTGAAGGTACGTCGTCATCGGCTGGAACAGAAAACGACATTCTTCACAAATCGTAAGTAGTGATATTAGGGGAGATCACGCGGGGATTTTTGGCCCTACATAGAGTGGGAGTACTTCTCAATGTGCAAGGTTGCCCCTCTTACGCTATTCTGCCGCGCTCGAGAGTAAATCCAAAAATCTCCGCCTCGGCACGGTAATATTAATATTACCGTGGCCTCGGCTTCCCTACTATTATCTATACTCTTATGTTTTACACTAGATTAAGATTTTCAGTGCAGCAAAATGACTAGCTAGGTGTCTAATCAAAATATGTTTCCGCTTATAGGAAAGTCTCGCCTACCCACTCATCATTCTATTAATATCCTCACTGCTGGGGCACAGGCCTTCCCTATCTAGAGAATATTGAGAACGGGCGACAAATAAGTTTGCCAGAAGGTCGGAAATCGTCATGTGATCTCCCAGCTCCCTAACGATCATTGTTTCTGGGAAGTGCCTTACGCATCCTTCAAGAACGAAAGGAGCGAGAAGTTGCCTCCCTGCTCTCTTCAGCCAGCACCTTAACTCCACCTCAATGCGCCTACCTCAGTCCACTTTTAGGTTTATAAAGGAAGCGTCAGATTAAGGGGGGGGGGTTTACTTCTCTAGAGCATCATCATCAGCCTATTAATGTCCCCACTGCTGGGGCACAGGCCTTCCCTATGGATGGATTAGGCAAATTGGGCCATAACCCACCACGCGGGCCCAGTGCGGGTTGGTGGGTGCTAACGAATGCAGATGCAGCCGGGACCAACGGCTTAACGTGCCTTCCGAAGCACGGAGGAGCTCGAGATAGTAAATTCTTGAACACCCATCCATTGACCGACCACTGCGAAAGTTGAATCCGCAATGAGGCGAACGCGCTAACCGCTGGCGCTATCGAGCTCCTCTTGTAGAATTCTCTAGATAACAACCCCAAAATCCTCCAAAAGCTTGCTATGAGCCCTCGTGCACTAGATCTGCGGCCACGAATGGCCGTCGTCGTAGACTAGTGCGCGAGGTTCCTAAGGTCAAGTAGGAGAGGAGACATAAGTCAGGGTAGGTAAAACTTTAATGATATAGCTCTGGTATCGCATGCATACCACATCTAAAGGCTATGGTGTTTGGTAAGCGATGTAAGGAATCAGGCGATTCATATTATGTTTGTTTGACAGTCTTTTTTTCATTATTGTCACCCAATTAATGTCCCCACTGCTGGGGCGCAGCCTTCTCTATGAAAGGAATAAATAATAAATAAAAGAAATATTTCCAACACTCACACCAATTAGCCTAGCCCCAAAGTAAGCACTGTGAGGCTTGTGTTATGGGATATCAGAGTAACGGATAAGAATACATATACAGTACATATACGTATATTTTTTATAGAAATATACATATTAAACATCCATGACTGGAGTACAAATGCTCGTATTCATCACACAAACATCTACCCCCACCGGGATTCGAACCCAGGACCTCTCGAGTCGGCGACATCATGAAACCCGGTGAACAAACCACTCGGCCACGGAGGTCGTCGAATAGAGAGATTAGGCCATGACCCACCTCGCGGACTCATTGCAGGTTGATCTTCTCTCTCTCTATTTATTCATAATAAAATGTAACTCCTAAAACTCTGAACTGATTTTGATGGATTTTGGTGTATAGATAAAGTGATATTTAGAGAATGATATAGGATAGATAATTTTATCACGAAAATGATGAATGACATCATAATGGTGGTGAAAAACTGTATGCAAGTTTGTAAGGGGAAATCAATTGTTTTCTACGCAGGGAAAGTTACACACGCTAGTAAAATACTGAAAATATGAATTTAACTTTGTGAAGCAATGCTTTTTTATATAAAAATAAAGTCACACTAAGAGAACGACCGTTTTTATAGACATCACGATCACGATGTCTATAAAAACGATCGTACATGGGAAGTCTCAGAGCGAACTAATCACTTAATAGCGTCATCAAGTGTGATGTAATATTGCAGGTACATGCGCGATGCGAAACATATCGGAAGTTCTTGCGGTGCGTTGGTGCGCGCTCGCAGATACTTGCGATGGAAAAAAAATACTCAAAAGCTCTTAAAATGAAATGATATGCTCATTCTAAAAGAATAAAAAAAAATGATCTTGTTCTTTACTCAAACTTATTTTATTTCGAGTAAAATAGTTACAATCAGCGTTCATAACCGTTATAAATGACTAAACACAAAATCTTCTTTTTCTTCTGTATCCATTTAACAGTGACAGTAATGTAACAATCTTTATGCGATCCATGTCACTTTTACTAAAACACTTTATATTCTCTTTGCTGACTACCTTTGAGGGTATGCTCATCTTAACCAAAGCTTTGCCGCACGATTTCGTATCGCAGTTTTGTGTGGGAGCCCTTAAGGACATCTTCTAATTAAAACATACCTCCCCGACTGCTTTAAAAAAATATAAGGTACATGATACAAATAAGGCATATGCTCCAATAAAGCCTAATACACTAAAAACCCGAATAAATCGAATTACGGCTTGAATACTTACCTCACACATACCTACAAGTCCTACATACTACCTACTAAAAATACGGGACGGACTGGAAAAGGATGGTTGAGGTTATTTTTAAAAAGAAATCGTAAGCTAGCCAAACGTAAAGCTCAAATGTTAAACCCAGCTCGCGCACAGAAATTAAACAAGCCTATTGTGGAAACGCATTTCCACGATATATAAAAATTGTATGAAGAACTTGACTTGCACGACCATCCTGAAAAATCTACAACATGGATGATAAGGGTGCACCCCTTCTGACTGCTGACACTTCATTCTAAACCAATAGTAGTTGCGGAAAAAGGCGCTAAAAGGGTGCATTTGCAAGCCTGAGCACGGAGAAAATGTTACGGTGGTTGGTTGTGCCAATGCACTGTAATGCTGTTCCTCCATTAATTTTCTTTAAAGGCAAAAGAAAGAAGCCTGTTTTGAGGCAAATCTACCTGCTGGAGCTGCAGTTTTGATGGCACCAAAGGCCAGTATGACGACGGAATTGTTTATCGCCTTTGTTCAACATCTGGCTAAATTCAAACCGTTTGGAAAGTGTCTTCTCATTTTTGATGGTGCTAAATGCCACTTAGACTTCCGAATTGCAGAAGAAGCTGAGAGACACGATATTGTATTATATTGGTGTCGATTCTGGCGTGATTCTCTAAACTTAAAACTAGATTTTACATCAATCTCTCCTTTTCATTCCGTGTAGAGAATGACAAGGATACACTGTTGTCAAATTTAAGTTTAGGTTTGAGAATCGTTTCAGAATTGACACCATTGTCTGCCATCTAACATGACCAAAGAGCTGCAGCCTTTGGACAAGGCGTGTTATAAGCCTTTCGAAACATACTGGGACTAAGAAGTTATGCAATTTCTTCAAACAACACGTGCATACCTTAAAAAAGATGATTTTAATAAAATCTTGAGGAGAGTGTGGGAAAAAAGTATGACGCGTGCCAATATAACGAGTGGTTTTAGGGCTACGGGACTCTACCCCTTAGATCCTAATGTAATACCCGAAAATGCCTTCGCTCCGTCAATATTGACCAACCGTGCCTCTGCACCTCCAACAAATGACTTTCAACTAGAGCTTCACCAGTATCCCTTGCAGACCGAGAAACAGAAAAATCTTCCGATACTATTGCGTCCGACAATGGTTTCCGCCAATCCTGACCAGTTGCAACCCTTCAACAACTTCAAAATTTGTTATCTGAAACAGAAAACTTGTCAACATAACCAGCTACGCCAGATCTTCACTTTATACGGGATATTTTTTCTCTAGGACAGCATACACCACCACGAAGCAATATTGGCAATCAAGACTATAATAAAGATCTCCCTGGGCCCAGCGGCTTCGAAAATACTAGACGTCTTGTTGAATATAGTAGCAGCGATAGATCTTTTGAAGTTGAAATCATGTGAGACTTCCTGAACCGTCCTTTGCCACCAAAACGCTTTAGAACTGACTCCTCTACTTATTCGGAAAATAATGTTGAAAATATTAATCCTAAGGTAGATACTACGGTAAAAGAAGACGATGCGCCTTTAGCACAATCAAGTACAAAATCACCTTTCCAGACCTTTTGACCAACACCCGATTATGAACATATCAAAACACGTCAAAGGAAAAAGGCTCTTAATTATAAAGGACAAAAAGTAACTAAAGACTTATTTGATTTACAAAATACCGAAGATATTAACAAGAAAAAAAATAAAGTTAAGCCAAAGAAAAAATCAAAGGCTGGAAGTGAAAAAAACAGTAAAGAAGTTTGTAAAAAAAGGCAAAGTAATCAGAGAGACTGAAAGAAAAATAACTGATAAGACTAATGATAAGAACAGTAAGAAGAGGGGACATAATTTAAAGTCCACAATAGAAAGCTGGTACTGTCACGCTTGTCACGAAGATAGGCAAGCAGACATGAGACCGTGTACAGACTGTTCGAAATGGTATCATGAGGACTGTGTTGGTTTAACAAAAAATTATTTCAACCCGTTTTTTTGTCCCAACTGTGACAAAAACTGATATTCACTATTTAATAAGTACAAACTAATTATTTTTCTACTGAGACTGATAAATTTGCTTACAATACAATTAGTTATTCGTAAGGAGCGTTATTAAAGCACCGTGTTTTAATAAGGCCCATATTTTTATATAGTTTTTTTTGAATTCTTTGGTTTTTATGATAAAATATGTTGATTTTATTTAGTTTATTACATTTTTTGCCATAACAATTTTGTGATATTATGTTTTTCTTGCTTAATATATGTACAAGCCATTTTAATTATATTTTATTAAGTTTGCATTCCGAATCGATGCACTCTAAACTGCTGACACAGTTGACCCACTAATTGGTTTAAGAACAATATTTTACATTATATGACAGTGCAATAAAGGCATTCACATCATATTGACGTATTTTAATAATCATCTCCTGACAATCGTCCCGTGACTAATTGACAAATTGA